TACTCTCTAGTCTCTACATTAATCATATACAATAGAAAGACGCCGGCATATTGTTTCATAATCACAAGACTTTCTTGAGAGAATCAAAGAAAGAAATTGGTCCAAGTTAATGAAATCGGAAAAGCAATTTCTTTTTGAAAAAGAAGGAGAAACTAAAGTAACTTTATCTACGAGGAGCCATCGTTTTCGCCAAAAACACTGGCGATAAACGTTTTTTCCCGCGCTAAATCCAGTTAGAAAACGACACATGTCAATCGTGTTCCACAATGCTCCTACTCTTTTGTCTACACTAATAAGAGAGAGGTGTCATTCTAGGACCATCACATCACGATTTAAAGCTGGATGATTTGGTCTTCTCGTTCCATGGAAAATAACGTGTGCATCTCATGGAGTCGTGCATTGATCACTGTGAAATACATAAATGGGCAAGGCTACTGTCAACAATCGGAGTTCGAATACCAAGAAAAACAAGATAAATGTGGTCTGAAAGTGTGTTTGATCCTGCATTCTCTAGATTCGTTGGACTTCTCCCATAAGTTCCATGCCCTGTCTGATTCCGTTTTATGTTATCTATCACTACCAGTGAGTTGAAAAAGAAGCATTTTCCTGACTTTGTCACAGTCCCATCTGAAGAATATGACAGCTCATAAACATGGGAATGCTCTTTATGTAGGCACGATAACGAAATCACATCCACCTCTATGCATACGATCTGGAGAAACAGTTAGATAGTTGGAGAAAAAAAACCTTCGTGGACCCATCAGTAATGTGATCAATCTGTCCCGGAAAGTGGGATGTCTATCGTGAATTCGTAATAAATAAAGTAGAAGCTTGCAAATGAATAGACCAAAGCAAAATAACATTCAAATTAAAAAGTACACGAAAGCTTATTTAGATGGGTTCTTCTAGTAAGTTTTAGAGACAAGACATCTACTTGCACAATCAAAACATTCACATACCCAAATATATCAAAAAGGTTCAGATAATATTTATAAATCGTTTCTTGCATCCAGAGTTCACCCATCACAGCAGATAGAATCATCTCCGATGCAAATGCATTTCTCCCTCATTAGGCCTGCGTAAGAGTAACACAACATGATGCTAAGACAATAACACGAGGAAAATACAATAAGCGAGAAACCATCTTTGGTTAGATTGGGTGTTTTTGGAAATTTATGTTACCTTTCCAGCGATGTTGTTGGAGAGCCAGTCCAGACCTTCGTACAGTCCTTCACCTGAAGTGGCGCATGTGCTCTGAATGTACCTGGTAGATTGCAACAAACAAAGAAACTCAGAACAAAAGAAAGGTTTTTGATTATCAGAGAGACTTGTTGGGGATTTTTTATTCACCAGTGACGCTGACGCAGGGAGTGAAGGCCAAGCTTATCTGTGATTTCAGCTGCATTCATCGCATTTGGAAGATCTTGCTTGTTGGCAAACACAAGCAACACAGCATCACGCAGCTCGTCCTACAAAAAAAGAAACCAAGACTAGGGTTTGTGAGTCCGAGTGAGTATGATAGAAAAAAAAGATAATTCATCTAAAGGAATTCGATATGGACCTCATTGAGCATCCTGTGAAGTTCATCTCTAGCCTCAACAACTCTGTCTCTGTCATTGCTGTCCACGACAAAGATAAGACCCTGAGTGTTCTGGAAGTAGTGCCTCCACAACGGACGGATCTGAAAACAAGTCAAATAAAATTAGTTTTACTTGGTTAAAAGTCCCCCAACAATGTACTTTCTATAACAGTTGAAGATACACAAACAGAGAAGAATCATCGGAACTGGATATCGTACCTTGTCCTGACCCCCGACATCCCACACAGTGAAACTGATGTTCTTGTACTCCACAGTTTCCACATTGAAACCTGCAAGAAAGGATCCATAGAGTTTATATATACTCATTCACAAACAAGAAACAAACCAATACTATTTATGGATGTTTGAAGCATTACCAATAGTGGGGATGGTGGTGACAATCTCTCCGAGCTTGAGCTTGTACAAGATAGTGGTCTTACCAGCAGCATCAAGACCAACCATAAGAATCCTCATCTCCTTCTTTGCAAAGAGCCTGCTAAACAGCTTCGCGAAACTCAACCCCATCTTTTTTTCCTTTTACTGCAACACAAACAACCACAAAGACCTTATAAGAAAGAGAGTATCAAAACCTCATCCACATTCTATAACGAACGATAGAGAATATATCCTCTAAAGAACATGATCAACACAAAATTAGCCAGATCTAAACACAGAGGTTGAAACCTGCCACCAGACTTCATGAAATCAGATCAGATCGGAAGCTAACAGAACAATCACGACGAGTAAAAACACGAAGCGGATAGAGATTTTTAAACAGATCCACACTATCTTAGTATCAGAATCAGCATGGACATGTATTGAAAATCTAATCGCATTTATCCATTGATGAGATCATCAAACCTAAACGGAATCAATTCTCAATAACATCGAAACGAATCCGAAGCAAATCACATACACACAGGTTGAAGCCTCACGATCTCTCTTAACGGATCAGATCTACACTATCTTAGAGACTATCGTATCAGAAATCTAATCGCATTTATTCATTGATGAGATCATCAAACCTAAACGGAATCAATTCTCAAAAACATCGAAACGGATCCGGAGAAAATCACATACACAGATCTAAGCAGAATCAAAATAGTATACAGAGTTGAGGATGCAAAAGCTGAGATCCAGATCAGGAAAGCGTACCTCTGAAAAATGTAACCGAGAGAGATCTGAGAGAGAGAGGAAAGCTTAAGAGAAACGCGAAATGTGAGACGAGAGGACGACGAAACCGGTTTAGAGGGAAGATGATTATTTTTATAAGGGAGAAAGGTACTGACCGGTTTTCACGCCTTTCCATTTACGAGAATACCCTTACCCCCTTTGATTTTGAATCTTCCATGACCGGTCTGCAGGTGTTCATGTGATTTAGCCAATCAATAGTTGACACGTGAGCAATACCTTTTTTTTTCCTTTTAGGTGCTACTTCATTTTTTGTTTTTGGGTTGTAAATTTTATCAACTCATTTCTTCTTCGTTATTTCTTTTTCATTTCAAGCTTGTCTTTTATCAAGTGGTCATAGATTCCATTAGGAGTAGTAAGAAATATATAATCTCAACTAGTACTGAGGGTTTGGGTAAGACAAATGAGCTTCTGAATCAAGATGTGTTCAAAGTTGCGTGCTAAGGTAAACTTTGTTCACAGTCCCTTTAATCTTTATAGTACATCAAAACTTGTTGTCTTTATAAATTCTTATGGTTTGGTTATAAAAAAAAAAGGTTGGACGTTGTGTAGTCCAAGAATTTGAAATCCGTAAATCTGTAATGTCAAGCTCCAGTAGCAATGAAAATGGCATCAAATGAATCTGCCCAACCAGAAGCTACAAACGAAGTTATAAAGTCTCTTACTACAGCACATGTTTTGGCTTTATTACTCTCTTACATATTTCTCTCAAACCGACTTTGATTTATGATTGAGTTTGATTTTTCCAGCTAAAAGACAGTTAAGTTGATACCGCTAAATGTTTACAAAGCTGAGACCACAAGGACGACTAATTTTGAACGGGACTGAGCAAAACGGATTTCACTTTGCTAATGCAAACTGTAATGTCCATCACGTTCTTGCATCGCCTTTGGCTCTTCCTTCACGTTCAGTGAATGGACTTTAGGGAAACTCCCAATCGCCAAAAACACACAGATGCAAGCATGTGAAGAGACTATTAGTGATGGACCTAACTCACACCCAAAAGCTAACTCAAGAGTGGAGGATTGCCTATACACATATATATTGCCCAAAGATCAACATCTTTAACGATGTGGGACATTTAATAGCCCCTCTCGAGATGTGGGTGGGAAACGGTCCATAGGGAAACAGCCCAAGCCTAACATCTCGGAAATACCACAGCATATAGGCCACTTTTACAGGCTACATAGGTAGGAAACTGTTTATGTGGGAAATCATAATACTGGGCCAAATCTTGGACTCTGATACCATATTAGTGATGGATCTAACTCACACCCAAAAGCTAGCTCAAGAGTGGAGGATTGCCCATACACATATATATTGTCCAAAGATCAACATCTTTAACGATGTGGGACATTTAATAGAGACAAAACTTCAAAGTGATGGGGGTTCGAATCAATAATGGTTTGTTAATTAGAAAATGGTGACACATGCCGAAACTCTAGAAGCTTTGTAACAACATCAAAAACCTCTCAAGAGTAAGCAGAGTGGATAAAACAATATGAGCATGGTGTTTATATCACACTGTTGATCCTTGTTGGTGGAACTAGATATCTCAAACATTTAATAGAATCATAGAAAGCAATTTTGTTTTTTTTTTTTTTTTTTGGGTAAAATGTTAATATTAAAGCAATTTTGTTCTTAAATAGTTCGCATAGAAAGCTCACAACGTAAGCTTGTTGCCTACAAAGCATCACAAGAAAACACGAAACAAGAACACATGAACAACAAGTCAATGAGCTTTACCTTAGGGCATCTCCAACCCAACTCCATTTTTTATTCTAAAATGGAGTAAAAGGGAATATGGAGTAGAAAACACTCCAACCCTACTCCATATTCTACTCCATAATAGAATTTACTCCATAAATGGAGTAATCTGTTTTTTGTTTGTTCATCACTGCATTATGGAGTGGAAAATGGAGTGGGGTTAGAGCATTTTTACTCCATATACTCTTTTACTCCATTTTGGAGGAAAAAATGGATTTTTACATTGGAGATGCTCTTAAGCATTCAGTTTTGTAAACCACGGTTGAACAAAGTAAGGACATCGTCCATATCAGTCTTCTTCATGCACACACCAATCTCGACGCCACCTGATCCATCACGTCTCTCTGCCATAGAGATCACCTCTCCTCTGATGGAAACAACATCACTCTTAACCGGTTTCCCCCACCCAAAATCCGTTTCATATATACCGAACCGACCCAGCAACCGAACCGTACTGTGAAGTCACACCAAAAGAACCAAACACATTCTTGAATTCTTCCACGATCGTCTCTATCTTTCTCTCACTCAACCCTCTCACCAAACCGCTCAAGATCTCAACCGCCGTAACAAACCCTCCATCCCCCTCGAAATCCGCCGCCGTCCGGTAGTAACTACCCACCGGAAACACGCAGTTTCCAAAGTAAGTCGCCGGAAGCGGCGGATCAAGACGCTCTCTAAAATCTCCAGCGAAGATGAAACTCACTAACCTCTCCCCGCTTCCTCCACGCGCCTTCACGAGGCATGTCCACACGTAGGCATACGCCACGACGAAAGTCGACAGGTGGAGGAGGCTCTGATCTTGGCTCTTGACTTGTTCCCGGAGTTTCTCGACGTCAGTGCTAGTCAGCACGAGGGTGGTTAGGACAACGTCGTGTCCTAGTTCAAGGACGGGAACTGGAGTCAGGCTTTTGTCCTTTTTGAGACATCTCACAAAGTCGATCATCTTTTTATCGAGTTCGGTTTGATCTTTGATCAACGACCGATCAAGTGATGGAGTTAAAGTCTTTGGCAGAGAGGGGATGACACTTTCCTCTTTTAGTAGTTGTTTGCACAAGTGAGACCAAGATCTGAAGAACATGCTTACTGTTTTCCCGTCTAAAACGGCGTGGTGTAGCGCGGCGCCTATGGAGAAGCCTTTGTTGGGAAACAAGGTGATTTGGAGGGAGAATGTTGTGGCTGAGTCATTGGAACCTGGTAAGTCCGGTACTAAGTTGAGTAACTCGGAAACTGGTCGTTGTCCATATCCGGAAAGAAGTGAGAAATCAGCGTTAGTCTCAGCAATGGTGACCGAAACAGCGTCATTTTCGGAGACGATGATGTTCGGTTTGGGTTCGGTTGGATCCCAGACGATGCGGCCGGTGAGAGGGAGGTAGGTGGTGAGGGCTAAGGAGAGGGAGAGTTTGAGCTTAGGGAGGATGAATGAGTGAAAATGCTCAAGAGTGGAGTCAGTGAGTTTGTAGAAGAAGACTCGCTTGATTGGATGGAGTAGTAACCATGGTATATCGAAGAAAGTCAACGGGATTGCGAGCGAGTCCGAATCGGCTGCAGGGGTGACTCGGGCAAGCTCAAGGATGTGTAGTGTCATTTTGGTGGTGACAGAATACCATGTGCTAACGATCCCATTTGGTTGCATATTAAAATTGTTTTGGATAAACTAATAAATACAATAAACCTTCATTTCTCTTCAAGTTGGACTATTTTAAAATATAAAAACAGAACGAGAAACAAGAACAAACTCAATAAGCTTTACCTTATTTTATTTTTGTTGGTTTAAACTTTACCTTGTTCTTGAAGAAAGTAAAAAAACAGTTTAGTTTTTTAAACCATTGTTGAAGAGAGTAAAGACAATGTCCATGTCAGTCTTCTTCAGACACACTCCAATCTCAACACCACCTGACTCATCACGTCTCTCCCCCATGGAGATTCCCTCTTTTCCAATGGAAACAACATCAGTCTTAACCGGTCTCCCCCACCCAAAATCAGATTCATACACACCCAACCGGTTCGACCCGGCTACCGAACCGAACTGCGAAGTCACACTCAAAGAATCAAACCCAATCTTGAACTCTTCCGCTATCGTCTCCACCTTTCTTGAACTCAACCCTCTCACCAAACCGCTCATGATCTCAACCGCCGTAACCAAACCATCCCTTCCCTCGAATTCCACCGCCTTCCGGTTATAGTCACCAACCGGAAACAAGCAGTTTCCGAAGTAAGTCGCCGGAAGCGGCGGGTCAAGTCTCTCTCTAAGATCACCAACGAAAAGGAAACTCACTAACCTCTCCCCGTTTCCACCACGCGCCTTCACGAGGCATGTCCAGACGTAAGCATAAGCGATGACGAAAGTAGACACGTGGAGGAGGCTCTTGACTCGTTCTCTGAGTTTCTCCACGTCATCGCGAGATAGCAAGAGCGTGGCTAGAACGACGTCGTGTTCGGGTTCCTTGGAGAGGATCGGAGTTAAGCTTCTACTCTCGTTGGTTTTGTCCTTTTTCATTGATCTCACCATCTCGATCATCTGTTGATCGAGTCCGGTTTGGTCTTTGATCAAAGACCGGTCAAGAGACGGAGTTAGTGTCTCTGGTAGAGAGGAGACGACTTTGTTGTCCTCGTGGAGTTGTTTGCACACGTGGGCCCAAGCTTTGAAGAACATGCTTAGCGTTTTCCCGTCTAAAACGGCATGGTTTGCGGTGACCCCGATGGAGAATCCGTTGTTAGGGAACAGCGTGATTTGAAGAGCGTAAGCGGTTAGTGAGTCATCGGAAACAGGTAACTTGGGAGTCAAGTTGTGTAACTCTGAAACGGGACGTTGTTCGTAACCGGAGAGAAAATAAAAATCCGCGTCACTTTCAGCAACGGTGACGGAAACGGCGTCGTTATGGGTGACGAGGATGGTGGGCTTGGGCTCGTTTGGGTTCCAGATGATGCGGCCCGTGAGAGGGAGGTAGCTGCGGAGGACGAGGGAGAGGGAGAGCTTGAGCTTAGGGAGGATGAAGGAGTAGAAATGATCACGAGTTGACTCGTTGAGTTGGTAGAAAGTGACTCGCTTGAGTGGGTCGAAGACTAGCCATGGCAGATCGAGGAAAGTCAACGGTATTGAGAGCGAGTTGGCTGGCTCGGGCGAGTCGGGTGCGGGGGTGACTCGGGCGAGCTCAATGATGTGTAGGATCATTTTGGTTGACTATTATATGATTGTTGTGGTGGAAATTGAGATTTTATAGATGGTATGATTATTATCTCTTGTTCAATGCTTAAAGAAGGCTTGTAAAGAATTATTAGAGTATCATACGTGTGTTTGAAATCTCTATCAAGACAAGAAATCATAATCTAAAAAAGTTGTAAAGAGGAAAAGAAAATCTTCAGAAATTTGTAGACATTTCTGGAAACTTTGGGTTGAAGTGTCATTTTCTCTCTTTTTTGTTGTCGTGTATTCAAGTCTAATTTTAAAATTAAATTTCATATATTTTTGAATATTTTTTTTTCAGATTTTGGATATTTTTGTTTTAAGTACCCGAAATTGACCCAAAATCTTTAGGAATCGAATCACTAAATAATAAATATTAGCGGTTTCTAAATAACTAGAATGAAAATGATCCAGACTCAGAATCAATAAATCTAAGAACCAAAATATTCAAATTAAACACAAAGATCCGAATATCCAAACATATTCCCTTCCATTAATCTGAATATTGTTTAGCTTACCATATTATGCGCCGCAAGATATTAGTATATTGTGATTGCTTAACAATTGTTTCTTTTCTACTTTTTTTGTCAGCCAATGAATTTATATAAGATAAATCACAATATTTTATGTTTGTTTGTATTCATATATTTAAAATATTTAATACCAAATCTATATGGATATATATATGAGCATTATTCATGGATTTTATAAATCTACTCTATTAAAATAGAGTCACTATTTTTATCTACTATAAAGAAGTCATATAGGACCATTTCATTAATGATTTAGTATGACATATTAAATTATTTAGGTTAATCAATCAAATATATATCATATATGCTGAAAATAATAGACTTACATTTTATTTTTAGTTATAACAGAATCGGTTGAGAGAAAATCTAACAAAATCTTACTAAAAGTTTAAATATTTTTTTACTAAATAACATAATAATGAATTTAGTAATTAATAATATCATACTATTATACATTAATATTAATTAAAATTTCACTATAATAACCAAAAAAGAATCCTATACTATTTTATAAATTTCATATTATAGTCTATACTATATTAAAATAGAATTGCACTATGAATTAAATAACATAAATAAAGTTCGTGATGAAACTTTATTTTAAAATTTAATTCACTTAAATAAAAAAATTATTCACCATTAAAAGGATTAACATCATAAATTATGTATATATTTTATACAAAAATGTTAGCATAATGTTAAATTTTTACTATATCTTTTTTTTTACTTAATTCTAAACTCACAAAAACATATTATCTAAAATGATTATATAAAAAAATATCTACTCTATTAAAATAGAGTCACTATTTTTATCTACTATAAAGAAGTCATATAGGACCATTTTATTAATTACTTAGTATGACATATTAAATTATTTAGGTTAATCAATCAAATATATATCATATATGTTGAAAATAATAGACTTACATTTTATTTTTAGTTATAACAGAATCAGTTGAGAGAAAATCTAACAAAATCTTCCTAAAAGTTTAAATATTTTTTATTACATAACATAATAATGAATTTCGTAATTAATAATATCATAATATTATACATTAATATTAACTAAAATTTCACTATAATAACAAAAAAAAATCCTATACTATTTTATAAATTTCATATTATAGTCTATGCTATATTAAAATAGAATTGCACTATGAATTAAATAACATAAATAAAGTTGGTGAATGAAACTTTATTTTAAAATTTATTTCACTTAAATAAACAAATTATTCACCATTAAAAGGATTAACATCATAAATTCTGTATATTTTTTATACAAAAATGTTAGCATAATGTTAAATTTTTACTATATCTTTTTTTTACTTAATTTTTAATTCACAAAAACATATTATCTAAAATGATTATATAAAAAATAGTATATAAATAACTTTTAGTTCATGTGTTATTTAAAAAAGATAAGATATCAGAAAGATTTACTAATTCAGAAGATATTAATGAAAAATATTTTTAACTGAAAGTATAATATTTTTATTATAAAATAATATGTTGAGAAAATATAAAAAACATTTTATTTTAATAATGTGGAATAATAAAGTAAAAAATTAAAGAATATTATATATTTATATTTTTGAATAAAAACCTACACCAATTAGATTATAAATTTACACAATATATAACATAAAAATATAAATTATATATTTATAATATTTACACAATATATAACATAAAAATATAAATTATATATTTAAAACATTTACATTAATAATAAATAATTTTTTAAAATGAAAAATATACCCGCACGAACGTGCGGGTAAAAACTCTAGTTAAGTCCTTAAAATATAATACACAAATTATAGTAATATTTAACTAATATTTTTCAAACTCTTATAAACTCATGACAAAATCCCAGACAGCTTTTGAGAAAATATATAATTAAATATCAACATTTTGTTAAAGATTTAAATTAAAAAATCATCATTAATAATCAAAATTAAATAATCATATTAATAGTCTCTCAAAAAAATCTATTTAACATTAACTATGAACCTAATTAATATTGATCTTTGATTAATGAATGTCTAACAGACATCAAAATATAGAATTTGAAAAACTTTGGTTTTAATATTCTCTAACTAATAGTTATTAATAAAATGTTAAGAATTGTAATTATATTTGAGAAATTAAATATTAGTATAATTTTCTGCTGAAATTTTTGATAAAAACACTAATACAAATATCCTTATATATTGACAGTATCCTCCAGATTAATCCAAACTCTCAAAAGTGTAAGTATGCAATACTTTTTTTTAATAATCACACATATGCTTAGTCACAGGGATAATCCTCCTTAAATGTTACAGTGCTGTCTCAAATTATTTATGGGTTCTATTCAAAAAATATTAAAGGATATTTGATGATAATAGAATAGTTAAAAAAATGTAGCTCTATATATATATATATATATATATATATATATTGATTTTTTTTTTGAAATTAACCCTTTAAACATGATTAATGGGAGTTTTTAGAATAGATATTCTTAACTAAATTAAGAAACTATCTCTTAATTTTTAGTTAAAAATTAAGAACTGGTTTTTAAATATATTTTTTAAAAAACTAGTTCTTAATTTTTTTTATTTAAAAGTTAAGAAAAGATTTCTTCAAAGCTCCACCTATAAAAAATTTCTCATTGATCATGCTCTGTACATCTAAATATTTTTAAAATAGAGACCATAATTTATATTAGTGTAGTGACCACTCACTTGATTACGAAACAAATTTTTCTCGTGGTAGTTGTTGACGAATGAATGGTGTATAGCGAAAGAACTTTTAGTGCGTAAATGTTTGAAAGTCAAGCCAATTAATGCATAAATGTTGCGAATTATATGGACTAAGCGCAATATTATTGGTGGTCCTTAGCGTTGTCCCTTAACGGAAAAAGTACCTTAACTTTTAACTAAAAATTTTAATAAACCTTTCATATAAAATACAAAATTAAAATACTTCTCTTAAAACTAGTAAAAATCTATCCTATTGCCACGATAGAACTACTACAAAATCGTGGCTATATAGGCAAAAACCATGGTTTACTGAATACCAACCGCGTTTCTATGTCGGAGAAATTACCGTAGCTATAGCCCCATGATTATTAAATATTGTGATTTTACGTGGCTAAATAGCCACGGTTTTGCTATGCGTGTTTCATGGAAATAAAAGTCACGGTAAATACTAAAAAACGTGGCGTTTGTGTGTGGCTGTCAAAAGCCATGGGTTTGCCACTTTATGTTTGTGGCATATTAATAACCACGTTTTACTAATTCTTTCCGTGGCTATAAAGCCACGGTTTACAACTTTCATTAGCCATTGTTTTTTGAGTGGCTTACATAATCACCATTTTTTAGTGGTTAATTATTTAGCCACTTATTTTTAATTTTGTTTTAATTTTAATTACTTAATTAATGCTAATTTAAAAGTTTAATTAATACTAGAACAAAATTAAACCAAAACATGAAATCTATATAATAATAGTACACTTTTGAAGCTCTCAGCGAGTCCACGTCAGCAAGTTTGCGGGTTCCGCACGTGTTATTAGGGAAAACAAAAACATATAAAATTTTGTAAGATTGAATGTTATCGATGAGTGATGAAATGGCTTAGTGGTGTAAGTTGGTGATGAGAAGTTGATTACTGTGAGTGCGCGGGTTCGAAACGCAGTGCTTGCAAGTAATTTTTTTTTTAATTTGGGCTTTTCGGGATACCTAAAAGCTTAGGGAGATTCATAATGATTTTTATGCTGATTGTTGGGATACAAAATGGCTTAAGGATTTTAAACTTTATGAGACCATCTTAGATACTTTTATAAGAAAGTTTATCATGTTCTAACCTCCAACATCATTTCAATTCAGTTATAATCATCAAATAAAATAAAAACATATTTTTCAATAATAAATATTTACCCCGAACCATTCAGATCGGCCATAAATCTCATATACATCACAATTTAAAAAAATATATTATTATATATATATACAACATAATTTCAAAAAGAAAATTACACTAATAAACACATGTCATTTTTTGTCTTGTCTCCATTAAATTATTTTTTTACATGATAATACTAATAACAGTAATGCTTGATAAAATCACTAATAAAGAGAATGCTCGATAAAATCACTACGAAGATAAAATATGAAAATATCAACCCATATGAATTCGATGTTTATTCTTTTATCAGACTAATCAAGTTGTGTGACTTCTAATGTTTCATTCATCACCATTATAGATAAACTAGATAAATAAATGTTAAAAAAAAATAGCAAAGTCTCATACATAAAACTACACAAAACATCAACAACGTATTCAACCCGCGCACTATGCATCTAGTTATATTAATACATTAGTTCTTAAAGCAATCATTCGTGATGACAAGTCAGACATGAATTCTATCACAAGGCATTAACATGTAAATACTTATCTCGTTGATGAGGACATAGACATAGTAACTACGGCTTTTGTTGGTAACTGACTCGATGGTGTTAGGAGACAGGGATCTATTGAAAAATTTAGTCGATGGCTAGGGTTTTGTGTTTTGCTCAGCAATTAAGGTTTCGTGTTGATAACATATTGTAAAAGAGGAATCAGTTGTTCTTATTCTTATTTCATAGACAACATTACATATATATATATATATAGGTACACCAATCTAGGGTAGGCCTATGATGGACATCCATACAATTATTCATAGAAGATTTAATAGTAAAGAAAGATATGTCCTCACCCGGTGAAACCTAGAAAGAAAACACGAACAAAGAGTGGCCAAGAAAAGATAGATTCTTCAGTTCTGCAAGAATATCATCAAACAAGACAAAAACTAGAACATGAATCAAGACTGATTAGTGAAACTTTATATAAATTATATGGATCATGTGTAGCGACCTATCATTCCTGTGGAAGAAGAAAGAAAATGGAAGAAGACGAAAAATAATCCCAAAGCGTTTGTGTAAACAATGAACACAAAAGGACACATCCCTCCTGTTGTTCAGTCCTGTAATCTAGGAGTGTATCTCTAACAATTGTGATCTTAGTGAATAATACAAGATATTTATTCAGAACTTTCACACATGCTACTTGTAAACTGGCATCGCTACTCATTCATCTGTGCATTGTACCACGTAAGCAGATTGGGGTTTTGAAGATAGTCCTTGGTAGAAAATATCAAAAGAAAATTAAGAGTCTGTATTACAATTATTTATTTATTTATTTATGAGCCTCAAATGTCAAACATTTATAACAACCAACAGTAGAGTAGGTTTCTAGATGATAAACAAACAAACCCCAAACTTGGTAAAAACATATGTTTATTCCGAAACTGCAACATGACCCTCAAATTCCATCTGGACCAACGCTCTGTTTGACCCTTCTCTGAACCACCAAACTGATTGTCACCTTGACCAAACAGAATATTCTGCTACGTGACCACAAGGTAGAGGATCATCATAAAAAACAGGAGAGTCTTGTGCGTAACCACAAGGTAGAGGACCAATAGAAAAAAGAGGAAGGCGGCCTCCATAACCACCAGCTCGAGCACCGTAACCACCACCGCCTCCAAATGCGTACTTCACCCTAATTCTTCGACCATGAAGGTACTGTGTTCCAGTAAACAAAAACAATAAATGGACAACACACGAAGCAAAGAAGAATCACAAATAAGCATGCATGGTGTCTGAAAACAGTGATTTATTAAAGAAGAGTCAACAAAAAAAAGAAAAAAGAAACTAATTGTTTTTAAAGAATCTTAAAGAATTAAAAGAGGCTGGAACATTTGTGTGTTACCTGTCCATCCAAGTGCATCATGGCATTAGTAGCCCCCTGGTTACAAGTAAATGTCACGAAAGCAAAACCCCTCGATCTACCAGTTTCACGGTCCACAACAACTTTGGCTGTCAAAATATATTGATGATAAAACAAAAAAAAAAACTACAAAGTTAGCTCCCCTCCGAGTAAAGAAAAACAAAGAGGTCATAACAACTCCAAAAGCAAACTACCATCAACAACTTGTCCATATTTGCTAAAAGATTCTCCCAAGCCAAACTCATCAGTGCTGTAGGAGATACCTGAATCCAACATAGACATTAACTCACCCTGAGACCAACAACCAAGCAGAGACTAACAAAAAAAAAAAAAAAAAAAAAAAGAGAATACTTTCGATAGAGTTATCACCTCCAACAAAGAGTTTTACATAAGAAGAAGAAGACATGCAACGGATGCTCCTCTGTAGCATCGAGTTAGAGGCAGTGACATGAGTGCTAGTCTGCCTAAATGTCCTTCCAACTTTACTTAAGAAGAAAGCCAAAGCCATGTTACTTATGTTGTGCGTCTCTCTGTATCCTCCTCCTGTATCCTAACCAAACAGAGAAAACAATCTAATTAAGTTTCGTATCAGCGAACGAAAGAGAAGCATGGACGAAACTAAACTCACTCTCTAGGGTTTAACGGAGAACGATAGCGTCTAGCTTTCAATTCTCACCTGGGATTATTTATGCCAACCAGGTTCGCTCATCCGTGTCCGTTCATTAATATGAGGTAATGTTAACCGTTGATTTGGATTCTTTCGCTAAAACTAAACCAAATCAGAGAGCCAAAAATGATTTTTCTTTGCATGCCAGACTATGCTGCCGACGCCGTGATTATTGGTAAGTAAAAACTTTTATGTTTCTGTTTGATTTAAGTTTTTTTTAATTTTTTTATTGCTCATATTATTTCAAATTTTTCTTTCGATTTGAATCAGATTTACTTTTTGAAATTTAAATACTCAAATAATATACAGTTTTTCCTGTTTCTATTTGAATAAATTATATTTTAATTTATATATATATATATCATTTTTTTTCCTTTCTTACAAAAGCTTACACACACACACACCGAAGCTATGTATCTAGATTTTGTACAGTCTTCGAATCAATTTAATGAGAAACTGCATTTACATAACATCTTTCTTATGCCAACTTGTGCTTAATATCCTTACTTCGTTATAGGCTTGGTGTACGTCTTCTTCTCAAAGTCTGAAATAAAGCCTCAACGTCCATTAAAAGTTAGCATAAGGCCCATTAAATGATTCTAAGGCCCGCAACGGTGTAACTTCGACGTCGACCTTCCGCTTTCTAGACCCTTTCCTCATGACCGTTCGATTTGATTACTCAGACAAATCAATGGTTCCAAAGTAACGATTTAAAAAAAAATAAAAAATTTTAAATAAACGTGTGGAGGTGGCAACTGGCAAGGAGATTTACAAGTACACAAAACCAAATCTCCCACAAACTCTCCAATTAAAATAACTTAAAAAATAAAAAATAAACTCATCAGATTCGAAGTTCATTACAGAGGAGAGAGTTCTCATCGTGTTAACGCGCAGAATCTGATACGGAAGACAAGAGATCAAAGCTTTACTACAGGTTTCATCAATCTCCTTTTAATGCTTCTTGTCTTATCTCTCTTCTTGTTTCTTGTTCTTTTGTCTAGCTTTGGTTAAGTAAAGAATATGTCTCTTGCTTTGAATGCTACATCACTCGATGAGATTAAACTTTATCTTTTGATGTTAATGCAAAAACCAACTCCGTGATCTCTCGTCACGTGTTTCTCGCCTCTCCTTTTTCTCTTTTCTCTGTCTACACTTTCCCTCAGACATGAACTCATCAGCTTGTTGTTCATATTAAAGAAAGTTACAGAGAGGTTTTTAATAATCAATGATGAAGAATGTGTTTATTCGAATTGATCTTTCGAGTTTCGTGACAGGCTCCACAGAGCACACGTGGCAACCAACGATGTCTGCGGAGACCAACATCCCAAGCTACTGGATTAACTGGAGATTCTTTCTCTGCGCGATCTTTGTCTTAACGTCTCTGTTTCTATCTTCTTTCCTTATTTGGAAACACGAAGGACCTAGAAAACGGAAGAGACGTGGTGGTAATGATCAAAGAGAAGGAACAGGAATTGTGTACGATGAAGAAACTTGGAACACTTGTGTTGAAAGGATTCATCCGAATTGGCTTCTAGGTTTTCGAGTTTTTGGTTTTGTTACTCTTCTTGGACTCATCTCTGGTAATGCTATTGCTGATGGAGCTGGCATTTTTATCTTCTACACGCAGTGAGTCTTCCTATTTTGTGTTTCGTATGTTTTCTTTGACTATGTGGCCTTTGTTCGTTTGTCAGTGTAACCATCATACTCTAGATTTGCTAGTCTTGTAAGTTCTTGTGTATACTAATTTGCATTCCCCGGTTTGATATTTGTTCTGTTTCAGGGCTGGTGAGTTGTCTGCAGCTGAGATCTATAACTCATGAAGCTTGTTGCTAACCCGAAGCAGTACAAGATCCCAGACTGGTCTTGAACAGGCACAAGGACGGAAAGTACTCTCAAGTTGTCTCCAATGCCCTTTTTGACATGAAACTCAGGGATGATCTCGATGAGTGTCTCAAGAAGATAAGGTAAACTCTATACTGATCCTAATCATCAAATTAACTGTGTTCTCTTGGGGTTTGAACTGAATGATTTTTTCCTCAACGGTTTTGCATTTTCTTTAACCAAACAAGAACCACCGTGGCCCTCAAGAGGAAGAGCTTATTGTTCCCTGTTCATTAGGTAAAAGCAAAAGGCCTTGATCATCTTCTTCTGTTTTGGTTTGGTTCTGTTACAACATTTGTTTGTCCAAACTCTTAATATATCTGTGTTATTTGTTGTATGTTTTGTTCGCAGGAGGATTTGATGCAAAGACAATGTCATATTCAAGGTAATTCACAAACTTGTATATATAGCCTTTGTTCTTCATTCTCCTTCCCATCTTTTTCATTCTTCTTCCATCTTGTAAACAATCAAAAACAATTTCTCTATTGTAAACAATTTCTTAATCTTTAGTTAAGAAACTAGCAATGGAGGATAAAATAACTTAAATTTTTATATTATTATATATTTCTTAATCTCTATTATATATTTTTCATATATATCTAAATTTTTATAAAATAACTTAAATTAAACTATTAATAATTAAAGAAAACATTCTTAAATTCTAAATTTTATATTTTAAAACTTTATATTACTTAAAAATGTTACAAATAATAATAAATATTGTTAACAAAAGATATTTCAACTAAATTATAAAATAGTATAGATATATAAAACATAACACAAAAATAATAGTTTTGGATATACATGTTTATAAGTCGGGTACAAATCGGTTTTTTTCGGGTCCGGATCTATTCGGGTAAAAGAAATTTAGACGCATTAGATATTTATAAATTTCTGGGTCGAGTTCGGGTCGCGTATTTTCGAGTCGGTTCCGGTTTATATTCGGGTCCGGGTAAAATGCCCAGGCCTAATCTAGACTCTCACCGCCTCAGAATTTAGATGAAGCTACACTAACGAAGAAAGAGGCCCAAAAACAAAAGCGTGGCCCAAACGGAAAAATGGTGACGTGGAGCTCTATGGAGAGAAGACTGGCGATTAAACGTCTTAGGGTTTAATACACTGGAAAAAAAAAGATCACAATTCTCGTTTTCGTTCGCCGTTCTCTTTCTCTGGTTGAAAAACAGATCTCTTGTTCGTCTCTCTCTCTCTCAGATAATCTCATGGGTCGGTCGAAAAAGGAGGCAAAGGGCAAGGAGAAGTTCGTTCCAGACATCGTTCCTATGACAAGATGTGAGTTTCTCTCTCAGCTTCAGTTTCAGTTTAAACTTTATCTGTTACTCATATACTATTTTCTTGTTGTTTTTTATTTTCAGTAAACAAGCTTGAAGTAGAATCTACAACCATCAAGATGTTGAAGGATGCCCATATATGGAACGATGTGTTGATCACAGACAACAACACAGACAGAAAGGCTCTACTTGCTCAAATCAAAGGTCTTCCAGATACTGCACAAGACCAAATTTGTGAAGCTGTTGACCAGATAATGGTTAGTCTTAAAAGGTTTTTTTTTTTTTTTTATTTGAGCAGAATGAAAGAAAAAGATCTTTACAGTGTGGGATGGTTTTGTTTTCTTTCAGGGTTCACTAAAAGATGATGTTACTATCTTCACTCAAAATACTCTGGTTTCATTGGAGGAGGGATGTAACAGATCCGAAGATGACTTCTTGAAATCTGTTTTTCTTGAGGTTCAAGAGTGTGTTAAAGGGTGCTTCTCCATGGATGAAATCCTTAAGAGATTGGCTAAGGAATTTGGGCAAGAAGAGAAAGATTTCAAGGGGATGCTTAACCATTTTTTTGATCGTAAAAAGGGATATGCCTCGTACCTGCAACTGTCAACTATAGTGGCTGCTCAAAGAAAAGCAGAGAAGCCGCAGCTCAACATTGTTGATACTGAGCAAGTGAAAGATGATCCTGTTCAGAGTAAGACTGAGGAGAAAGAGCAAGTGCAGAGTAGTGATCAAGTGAAAGATGACTCTGTTCAGAGTAGGACAGAGGAGAAAGGGCAAGTGCAGAGTAGTACCCAAGCAGAGAAACAGCTCAAGGTTGTTGGTACTGAGCAAGGGAAAGATGATGATGTTCAGAGTAAGACTGAGGAGAAAGGGTCAGTGCTGATTAGTACCCAAACAGAGAAACAGCTCAAGGTCGTTGGTACTGAGCAAGGGAAAGATGATGATGTTCAGAGTAAGACTGAGGAGAAACAGCCCAACGTTGACAATGTTGTTGATACTGAGCAAGTGGAAGATGATGCTTTTGAGACTAAGACTGAGGAGAAAGAGCAATCTGAATCTTTGTCACAGCAGGTTAGAGAGTTATGTGAATTGAATTGAATTGGCTTACTGTGTTTGTTTATTAAAGATTTTAATGGTATGTGACAGGTTATTAACTCTAATAGAGAGTTGTTGGATGGTTTAACATGTCGGACGGACTTGATTGAAACCATTAGAGGCTCTCACATTGCTACAAAAGAAGATATGGAGGATCTTAGGAGGGGCATCGCAAGTACACTTGAGAAATTTGGTGATGAACTATCAAAGCAAGTGGCAGCTGGTCTTCCTTCTATCTTAACCTCATTTAGTGATCAGATTTCCAAGAAGGTGATAAAGACTACTAGTTCGCAGATTGAAAGAGCCTTGAAAGATTTTGAAGCCACTGTCAAGGAGCTCATTCAGTCCAGCTCTGAGTCTAGAGCTGAGGCTAGAGCTAAAGAGATGTTTCTTGCTGAGGCTGAGGCTAGAGCTGCTGCTAATGCTCCTAACCTTAAAGAAAAAATGGTAACTAAAATATTGTTTTGGTTTTGTTGTATATCTATTTCATGAGTTGATGCTAATCTATTATTTATGGCAGGCTTTGCACATATTAGAAGATGAATATGAAGAGTGTTTTGCTATGGCTGTTGCTGGAAATGTTGATTATGATTTACTATGTTGGCTGTTGACAAAGGTAAATCTTCTGCTTTTGTTTTCATATTAAAATTTTAGAAACATCTCAACATCACACATTATTATTATCTCACAGGTTGGTGCAAAAAAACTGCCGGAGCTTCCACTGAGCACCCTAACACTTCGGAAATTACTGTTCCGTTTGTACCCTTTGCTCATCACTCAGAATGTGGGCGTGGACACCATTGTGTACTTTGAGTGGTTCAAATCACTTGTCCAAGTCGTCCGTTCAAACCCTGAGAACGATGAGTTGTTCTTACAAACAGTAAGTACTATGCATGAATCACTGAGCTTATTATTCATTAACGTGTCTTGTATTTGAACTTACTTTTAGTTATATATTTTATAAGGGGAAATGTCATGTAAGGAGACAAAAAAATTGATGATAACTATGGCAGATTTTTACTTAATTAAAGGATTTGGTAGAGTTAATTAAATTATGATTAATTACGTTGACATATTTAGCATACTCGAGAACAATATAGTTTTGAGCTTGTTGTAAGATTTGGTAGAGTTAATATATATGCTTGGGTTCCTGAAAATTCTGTTTTATATGCTTTTGCAATTTATGTAGTTATTATGTGAACCTGGGAAGAGGGCGATAAAAATGTGTGAAGATTAATGTATGATTTCGAAGTGGTGGATTATTTCCGAAAATATTGGTCATGCAAAATTAGTGACTTCTCATTGGTTGAAAAATAGTTGTCGAATTTTTTTAAAATAGTCAATTCTATAGTTCATTACTCGGATAGGGACTATTAAAATATAGGAAAACAGCACAAAACATTTTAAAAGAATAATGTTTCAAAAATATATATAAAAAAATAAATAAAATAAATATATAAGAACCTAAAATATAAAAAGAAAAAAATGAGGACATGTTTCACCAAAACCCCCTTCCACATGTCATAAGAAGAGAAAACTTCAACTTTATATATATATAGATTCTGAACTTTAGCAATGTTGAAAGAAAATAAAATAAAATAAAATTCAACATGTAAATTTTGTTAACATATATACTATAAGAAATAATAACTACAGAATTATTCAAACGAAGTAAAAAGAAGCGAGTTTGGCACAAAAATGAATTTGGGCTAAATTAGGCCCACAAACAAACCTTGGAAAATGAAAGATAGTGTTACCATTTAGATTCTCATATCACAAGTTAAAGATCTGTTTAGGAAGGCCCATTATGAGAAATATAAATAATTAAATGAAAAAAGCAAACAAATATAATCAAAATCAAAATCCATCGTCTTCTTCGTTCGTCCCCGCCAAGCTGAGGAAGGGAGAAACGGAGTGAAGCTATTCTCTGAATCACAGGATCTCGCAGGTATGCTTCAGATTGTGATTTCCGTATGGTGATAGACTCAATCTCCAGGTAGATCAAATGTCTAGATCTTCAGGACTGTTTCGAACTTAGAGAATCTTACTATCTTGATCTAGCGGTTGATACTGATCGTTGATCATTGTTCTGATCTTGGATCGGGATGTGTGTTGAGTTACTGATTTCGTCTTGTTCACTCGAATTGTTGATGATTATTGGTTACTCTTCGTGAGATCGGTTGTTGTGTGCTGCTATCAGTTTTTGATTGCTTCGACATGTTTAGTTTGATTACTATGATGTCACTCTATTGTCTCTTTGAAGTTGATAGACTCAATCTCCAGGTGATTTTCTTTCGGCAGTAATGGCAGAGACCGGAGAGGAGGTTTGTTTGAGGAATTTGCTTGCGCAAAACAAGCTGGCTGTTGAGGAACTCGCTTCTCAAAACAAGTTCCTTGATAGTCTTGCTAAGAGGCTAGATCAGTTTGTAACCAAGGAGGATATTGAGGATATCAAGGAGAAAACAATCAGCAAAATGGAAAGAGCTGTTAAAGCGATTGCTAAGAAGTTGCTAGTTGATATACAGAAGAAATGTGAAGTGTCTATTGGTAACGAGGAAGCTGAGGAAGCAGCAACAAGTGTTATAATCGCAAACTTGTTTAGTCGCTTCGAAGGTTTGGTTCCCAATTGTGATTCTCAAATGGTTATGTTTTCTAATAAATTTTCTCTGTTTTTTTTTTTTTATGCAGAACGCATGAGGAAGAACAATCACTAGCTTCCTTGATCCTTCTCAGTAACTTCACCCTCAAGACATGTTCTGATCAAAAACATAACAAAAATAAAGACAAACTGTGATTAAGAAAGAAAGATTTCTAATTACCCACAGAGATTAAGAAATTAACAAAAAGTTATAAAAACACTAACATATATATTGTTTCGTATATTTTCAGAGCTTTCTAAAAAGTTTCTCGATAACTAAGTTCCGATCCTAATGTTTCCCATTTTGTATTAGAATTTATATATATACTGTTTCGTATTTCATACGAACTTTTTTTGACTTAAATTTCATACGAACTTGGTCTAATATGTCTTGCACCATGCACTGGATTTATAAAACAAATTGAAACGCTTGCTCTGAAAATATGTAGTCTATTACGCATTTAAGATTGCTTTTAATATTCTTAGAAAAAAAATTATAAATTTCATTCAAACCATTGAACCAATAAGCAAACGACATAAGGAACACAAAAGAATGATTAATGAAACAAAACAAAACAAAACAAAACATGTGCATGACTGATGAAATAAAAAAAAAAACTTGAGATTCGAGATAAGAAAATCACATCGACGGGAACGCCTAGTACAGAAATTATCAAAGACAAAGCATCTTGTCAAATATTTTGTTGTTTGCAATCAGTGTTTCAATCATCTCAACCCCTTTTGAACCTTTTCTACACATTATTAAAAGATATAGCAAAAATTTTCCAATATGTATATATCTTCAAAATTATTAAAAACATATAAATTAAGTATTCTTCAAACCTCCCCAAAGCTGTAATTTCTTTACCCGTGAGCCTTTGAGCTTCGTTATTGTCACAAAGTTATTGTCACAAAGTTCTTAAACACCTATATAATACTTTCATCCACATATTTTTGACCGATGAAATCTTACATCCACATGTAAAAACATGATCATGTACACAATTCTTGCATCCACATGTAAAAGAATTGCATCCACAATTCTTGCATCTACATGTAAAAACATGAACATATACACAATTCTTGCATCCACAAGTAAAAGAATTGCATCCACAATTCTTGCATCCATATAGAAGCTCAGACCACTCAGCTTCTCATTCTCTGAATATCTAGATAAGTTTAATTGAGTTAGGAGAGAAGAAAAATTTGTCGGGAGTTAGAAGAACATGAATGAAAAAAAGAAATATGTTTTAGTTTAGGGGTGATAAAGTCATTCAACAATAGAAAAGTGTGTGTCAAGTGTAATGTGTCTCATGATGTAATTGTAAAGTGAAAAAGTGTCTCTCAATGTAAAAAATTCTTATTTTAACCCGCGCGAAATTATCTTTTGTTTCTTTGTTAACTAATATGTTTAAGTGTGGATATTCGGTTTGTTTCTAGACCTTTTATTAAATTTGTAACAATTGTTTTTATTTTTATTTTGTTATTTTTATTACAATTATTCGTCAAAAAGTATCAATCAGTTATTTTACAAAATAGAAATTCATTTCAAACTCGTTACATAAATTATATTTAGACACATTATGTTATAATAAATATATTTATTTAGTGTGGATTTAATTTATTTAAATTCATAATTATTATTTAAATTTATTTTATTAAATTTATAATACATTTATTACTAGGAAATTCATTATATTTTATTTAAATAAAACATACTGCAACTTATACATCAAAAATGTTACCAGTCAATTATTTTCAAAATATCATAAATCATATTTTTACATCAAAGTTATTACATAAATCTATAGTTTTTACCACATAATTTTTACTGCAAATTACATCAAACTATAAATTTTCAAACTCGTTACATAAATTCTTCCTTCTTCAGGCATGATGTACGTCTTCTTCCGCCTCAAAGCCTGAGAACCAAATAAAGCTTTGATCCTTTATACTACGTAAGGCCCATTAAAGGATGTCCTAAGCCTGCAACGGGGAGCTAACTTCTACGTCGACCTTCAGCTTTCTAGTCCTTTCCTTATGACCGTTCGATTTGATTAGTTAGTAAAATCAACGGCTACAAAGTAACAGAATATAAAAAGAATTAAAAATAAATAAACGTGGTGTAGGTGGCAAGTGAGAATTAACAAGAACAACAAAACCAAATCTCCCACAAACTCTCCAATTAAAATATTTTTTAAATTCATCAGATTCGAAAATTCATTACAGAGTCTCATCGCAGAATCTGATACGGAAGACAAGAGATCAAAGCTTTACTACAGGTTTCATCAATCTCCTTTTAATGCTTCTTGTCTTATCTCTCTTCTTGTTTTTTTTTTTCTTTTTTCATTTCTTGTTTTTACTTTGTGTTGTTTCTTGCTCTTTTGTCTCGCTTTGGTTAAGTAAAGAATATGTCTCTTGCTTTGAATGCTACATCACTCGGATCATTTAAACTTTATCTTTTGATGTTAATGCAAAAACCAACTCCGTGATGTCTCGTCACGTGTTTCTCGCCTCTCCTTTTTCCTCTTTTCTCTGTCTAAACTTTCCCTAAGACATGAACTCATCAGCTTATTGTTCATATTAAAGAAAGTTACAGAGAGGTTTTTAATAATCAATGATGAAGAATGTGTTTATCCGAATTGATCTTTCGAGTTTCGTGACAGGCTCCACAGAGCACACGTGGCAACCAACGATGTCTGCGGAGACCAACATCCCAAGCTACTGGATTAACTGGAGATTCTTCCTCTGTGCGATCTTCGTCTTAACGTCTCTGTTTCTATCTTCTTTCCTTATTTGGAAACACGAAGGACCTAGAAAACGGAAGAGACGTGGTGGTGGTGGTGGTAATGATCAAAGAGAAGGAAGAGGAGTTGTGTACGATGAAGAAACTTGGAATACTTGTGTCGAAAGTATTCATCCGAACTGGCTTTTAGGTTTTCGAGTTTTCGGTTTTGTTACTCTTCTTGGACTCATCTCTGGTAATGCGATTGCTGATGGAGTTGGTATTTTTATCTTCTACACACAGTGAGTCTTCCTCTTCCAAATTCTTCTCTGATAAGGTTTCACAATGTGAGGACGATGTTGGTCTGATGGGAATGTGTTGATTGTTCTTATCAGATGGACTTTTACTTTGGTCACTGTCTACTTTGGGGTATGGTTTTTTTCTTATCACCTTGTCATTGTATTAAACATGCTTTATCAGTTCATTAGTATCAATTTTTTTCTATGTAAACTATATGTCTCCAGATCCAAATCTCATGACCAGATTATTAGATGTGTTTTTATGTAGAATCTAGTGATTTGTGTTAAGTTAAAGGCGCTTCCAAACTAAAACTAGTTGATAATTGGATTAGCTCATTTTTTTATATACTTGTTAATATAAGTTCCGATGTGAGGCGTTTATCCCTGATAAATATATCCTCAAGATGATGATTGTTTGAACATTAATCTCGGAATGTTTGGATAAGAAATCGATGGGGGAATTTTTTGGTTAAATCGATTATGGATATTGTTAGATTACATGGATTGAGCTCTAAGACCATATTAAGTTAGACGGACTTTCAACATAAAACTAATTGGTAATAAATTGGCGTATATTCCATACATACTAGTTAAAATATTTTATAAATTTCGATGTGATACATTTGTCCTTAATAATTTGTGTGTGAAAAATTATATATTGGACTTGATTGTAATGCAGGTTGCAGCTTTGGTGTCCATACACAGATTTAAATCTGGTGATAACTGTGAGAAGGGAGTCCGTACAGTAGATGAAGAGCAAGGGTCGTATAGACCACCCATTCATGGTGAAAACCCGAATTTGCTTAAGGCTTCTAACGTACACGAGAGACACAACAGGTCTACACGTCGAGTTGCTTCTACATTGGGTTACATTCATCAAATTCTTTTCCAAGTAAGTGTCATATGTGTTTAAGTTCATCTGCGTTAAGTTTCTCTATGTCTCTCTGAACATGTGTTTTTGGATTTGTAGACTTGTGCAGGAGCTGTATTACTTACAGATGGTGTTTTTTGGTTCATCATCTACCCTTTTCTCACATCCAAAGATTTCAGTCTTGATTTTGTAAGTTTTAACACACATTTTGTAAGTTGTCTCTGATATGCTTAACTCTTAACCAAAACATTTTATACCACAGTTCATTGTGATTATGCACTCGGTCAACGCTGTTTTCCTACTTGGTGAAACTTTCTTGAACTCTCTGGTTAGTCTCTATATCCTTTCCTTACTCAAATATAATACATGGTGATGGTTATAATGGTTATGATGACTTTGATGATGATTTTCTTTGTATGCAGCGGTTCCCATTGTTCAGGATTTCATACTTTGTGGTATGGACCGGTGTATTCGTGCTTTTCCAATGGATTGTTCATGCTTGTGTCTCATTTTGGTAACACTCATGGTTCTATCTTTCTTTACATGATTCTGTGAACAGATTAATTTTACAAATGTGATTTTTCTTTTTGTGCAGGTGGCCATACCCATTCTTGGATTTGTCATCATCCTACGCCCCTTTATGGTATGTTACTCAAACTCATCTCCCCAACTTATATTATATCGGTTATAACAATTTGTTTTAATTGATGTGGCAGGTATGCCGCCGTTGGGTTGATGCACGTACCATGCTTTGGAGTCTTTGCTTTGATAGTGAAGTTGAAGTACATGTGGCTCTCAAAATGTTTCTCAGAAGAACCATAGTTACAAATAGCATATATTTACTCGAATGGCTGGTTATATTCTTTAACACAGTTCAAAGAGAGCTTATACAGACTCTCATGTACAGATACAGGTTCCTTCCTGCCTTCTGTATCAATATTTTTTTGTAAATGACATTCAAAGTTCCTTTTGAAGGAACATATAAATCATTTAGATAGTCACTATGATTATTGTGACTTGATAAACATTATCATTTTCTTTCTAGCATATGCGTCATATTATAATACCCGGAAACTGGTCATAGACAAGATTCTCTTAATTTCATCAAAGATGTAATAATAATAGTAGACTGGATTTGAGAGGGAGACACAAATCCATTTTTATTTATATATGGATGAATATATCCCTTTAAGCTAATTAATCATATCTTGTCCTTTTTTCGCCCTGTTTAATCATATTCATATATAATTGCATCGTGTGACTATTATCTTCAAACTTCAAAAGAAGCATCATGTTTAGGGGAATATTTTAGACTTGAAATCCCTGAGGAAAGCATATTTTATTCAGATTTTTTTAGTAAAATATTTTTTTTGCTAATTGTTTTTATTCATATTTTCTTCAGATTTGAACAAAACTTTATATTCGTATCCAAAAATGGCGAAGAAGATAACATTTTCGATTATTTTTGTCGTTGACCCGATTCTTCATATATATGACCAAACAGGGAAACATACATAATAGCCATTTTCATGTCAAAAAAGCATGTAAACGAAAAGAAGAATGCACCAAAATATCTTAGTAGACAAAATGATAAACAATAGCGTCGTACAATTAGTTAACACATAATATTCGTATTTGGTAGTAGTTGTACGTAGTTTTTAGAATATAGACATGGACCAGACATTAAAATTTGTGGTAATGTTAACATAGTAACTGGAACAATTGTGTACTAGTGGGAAATAAATGGTTAAAGAATTTGTAGTGCTAATACAATTTTTTTTTAAACTTCTTTTAATCGAATTGTCGAGAGGGAAAAAACCTCGAAACAGATGTGGTCATCAAACACGATTTTCGCTATTAGAATTTGGATTTCTTTTTTTTTTTTGTAGCGGTACAACATAATATGATTGTAAATAGTTTTGATATAGTTGAAAAGATGCCGTCAAATTCTTTTAAATGATGTTTTAAATTGTTGTAGCTAAACTAATCGAAATACTAATTATCTTTTTTGGTCGAAGATACTACCTATCCTTGTGGACTGAATATATAAATGCCATTAAAAAGTTTTGTTCACCGCAGAATTTGGTAGATATTCAAAACCATCTCAACAGTGAAAAAAAACCTTCTAAAACTCTGTTTTTTTTTTGTTCACCTTCTAAAACACTGTTTAACGGTGATAAAGTGCCGTTGAAACGTGCCATTTGGCCTCTTTCTGTAGGCAACCATTCTTGGTGTGTGTGTAATCAATCGAATTTCCATAATTATAGTTTATGCATTGACTAAAATAAGTACATCAGCTTTTTAGCTCCTTTTAAACGTGATGGTTGTGATTTGCGAGCTATATCCAATGAAAAAAAGTCAGCTAACGCTTGCACTTTTGGAATAATAGTTAGGTTTAAGTTCTCACCCGCACATTTGTTTAGAGTATAGAAATATTTGTTTAGAGTCAAAACGGAAGATATATAAAATGGTGCCACGTTGATGTAGAAATATCAAGCTTTTGACCTGAGTTAATTAGCCTAATTAAATAGAACTAACATTCCATAAGTGTTATCTTTTGTTCTCACCCGCACATTTGGAGCTCAGTTCCATTGCAGCCCTATCTTTGACTCACCTCGATTTTTCATTTTAAGTTTTTAGATTGTTTCTTGTACATATGTATTTTATTTATTTTTCATTTATTTCTTAAAACATATTTTTTTTACTAAAATTTTGCCCATCAATTTTTACTATTAATCTATTATGTAGTAAGAATAGAATAAAGAAAGCCGAGCACTCTGTTGAGCTTCGTAAAAAAATTAAGATAACAAAAGAAAGACAAAATTTGTATTTGAAGGACCACAGACAAAACCAAAGGACCACTTCACAAGATACATTTGAAAAAGGATATGTGAAGAAACATAAACACTTTGCATCAGCATGCTTTGATATTGTTTTGTTTTAATTCATGTCCAACGACATCCCCAGATTTTGGGTTTCTTTTCTTATAAACACGTAGGCACGTGGGATATCATGGGAATAAAATCATTGAGCTACAGTATTTTACAATAAGACTTTTATTGTCAACAGCAAATCTTAATTCAATGGGTTTGTTTTTTTACGTCGCCTCTGTTATTGTGAGTTTAAACAATTTCATAATTTTCTATATTTGAAAAGCAGATGTTAAGGTCATAGGTACGTTTTTATTGCATTATTCTTTTTTCTTTGATCAAACTTATTGCATTATTCATGTTTTAGTACATACAGGTTTGAATGCATGATTGCTTGTGAGGGAGTTTAACCAATAGGTTGGACCGTTGGAAGCTTATTAGAACTTAGAGGTCTATGTGATACTTCGAGTGTGACAACAATATTAGATGGTAGCTCATGGGTGCTGTTCCAATAACGCTTCTTTTCCACTGTTTCAAGCGACATTTCATAAGATTTATTCCTGAAGATAATTTTTTAAACTAATCCACAATTGACTTTTCTAGAAGCATAAAGGCTTTCAATTTCATTTTTTATATTTCCAGCGAAACCACTGTGAAACTTTGGTGTATATATAAGGTTTTGGTGCAACGAAGGCTGAAGAAACAAAAAAAAAGAAGAAGATCAAATGGTTCCGTATTCATGTTTTGCTTAACAAACAAAGCTATTGGAGACTGTTTTGTCCACCTTTTTAACAGGTACGTTGGTAATGTTTATGGTCACTTTTTATATGTAACAAGTTATGCGAATCTCTAAATATTACAGTTTTGCTCAACTTTCAATTATTTACAGCATTATATGCAGTCATTTCAAAATTTCAGTGCAGCATGTTGAATTGTAGATATTTATTTATTTAACGTCTGAAGAATATTTACTTTCATAACAGCACACAATAAAAAAATCAAACAGTAATTATTTCTGGCAACTAATTATTCAATAAATTATTTTACCAAAACAATGATTATCAGGCAAACCAGTCCTGATATATGAAAGTTGAAACTCACGAACGCACGGGAACAGTCTTTAGTGGACATACAATATCAACATCAATAGACTACCAACTGATTCAATCATTAAGTCACTACTGTTGTTATTTTTACAACTTTGTTCTGCAAAGTCATGAACTGATAATGGATGGCTCGGACCAAAACATTTATTTATTGTTATTTTTTTGTAACACAAACTAACCAAAGCATTTATAATTTCTCGATTGCAATGATCATATGAAAACGTGTGACCAAGAGCCTTTACCAAAATCAGATATGATAGAAACCATACGTCTGTTTTGTTTATATGCCATGAAGACTAACGGTGAAGATTTGATCCCGACACGATCCAACGAAGTGAAATGGAAGAGGCAAAAGCTCTGTCATTTTTATATGGTTTCATACGAAACCAAAGCTATGTCAGTAAAATTTCCCACCAAAATGGTCCGACGGATGTGTCAATCAAACATGTAACATCAACGAAAAGACCTTTACTACACTTTTTATTTTTCGTAAAAATATATATATTGGATCGGGTTTCGGATGAAACCCATGCAAAAATATGAGTAAAGTTTATAAATGGATTTTAAAAATCTGGAAACTAGATTAAAACTGCAGGTTTTATAACCATATGATGGATTATAAATAATAAATATATATCTGTAGATATAATACGCGACTTAAGATTCTCTAAGCATATAAATGAGGAGTGCTATTAGTCGAGTGGCCACTACAATTTTTCGAAAGGGTTTTAATTAGTAAAGAGCACATGACTGAAAGCAATTAACAAAGACATCTTGATGCATTATCTCAATGCCTCACGGAGCATCTATCTACCGTAGTCATGTATACAGAGAACCAAAACTTGGTGTAAATCGAAGAAGTGAAGTTGAAGTTAAACCGATCCGGTTAGACAACTAGAATCGTAGGGTGTTGTGTCGGCCACAAGGCTTATTTAGGTCATGTACGGCCGTGAAACTTCTTTCCGTCATGCAATGAATATTTTTCTCGAATTTCAAGTTGATTATTTTCCAATTGATTTTTTTCTTACATATATAGATTACTTGCACGCATACTATGCTTTCGAAAACGCTCAAACGTATTATTCTCTATATTATTATGTCTTTGGGAATAAACATGCCTAAAAGACACAACAATAATATACAAATCGTATCTCTATAATATTATTTGAGAAGTCAGTTTCCTACGTGTCGCGCTCACGTTAACTTTCGCGATGGTTGATTACATAGATACCCTTAATGAATTGTTAGATTTTAAGTTTATTATTAATTTTTTTATTTAGTTTATTTTTTACTTTTTCCAAATAACATATATAATAAAAAGGAAATATTTCTAAAATTTTAAAACAGATTTAAAAAACGAAAATAGATGTATATAATCTGACTTTATTAAAAAGGAAAGTTCACAAAATAGTAATATACCCCATTAATATATATATTTTAAATAACATATAGTATATTTTCAAAATAATAAAAATATATATGTTCATGAACTAATTTGACTTTATTTTCTAATATATGTATATAATATGACTTTATTTTCTAATATTTTTTTAGAAATCAACATATAATTTGATAAATATTATGAAAATACTTGTATATTTAAGGGATAAATAAAACAAATTTGATTTGACTTAACTAAAATAAGGAATAAATAAATATTATGAAAATACATGTATATTTAAGCGATAAATATAACTAATTTGATTGGATTTAACCAAAATAAAAAGTAATTATACTTCAATTTCAACTCAATATACTCACAACATGAATGACTCGACTAATCTAATTTATATCCAAAACTAACTACAATAAGAACATATAATTTTATAGTAATGATAATCTATTTAATTTTATACATATAAATTAGAGATTGGCTCAAAGCATATTAAAAAGAAAAAGAAAATATTAACCAATTACAATTTATTCTTTTGTAGAATTTGTATATATGCATGAGACTTCAAAATATTATCATTATATTTATTTATGTAATTTTGAATCAAAAACTTCAGCTTATTATTTATTTTAGTTTAAGCACAATATATATATATATTAAGTTATATATAATTTAACTATAATATATTTACATATCTAAGAATATATTTACATATCTAAGACAATAACCAACCGAAATGAAAATAAGAAAATTAATCAAAGTTTTATTATATTTACAATAAAAAAATATATGGCTGAATTCGAAAAATAAGTATTATCCAATATACCAAATTGATAATCAAACCAACTATTGATCCAAAAACTAATTAAACCGACAATAATATATCCACAGTCATATGTATAATTAGAATGATATAATATTTATTAATATAAATTATATATATAAATTGATACAAAATTAAAACTAAATATCAATCAATTATTATAAAATTTTACTTTTATAAATATTTATACCCGTGCATGAGCACGGGAAAATTACCTAGTATGCCTAAATACACGATAATAATCTACATATTAGAGTGCGTATAAAGAAAGTATTTTGTACTCTCTCAACAGTATTACGCATGCGTCATGGCGGATGTACTTTTGTAAAGAAACTGGTTTGAGACACCAATATATTTCAAAGTTGATCCAGCCCAAAACTAAATTATTTTGTTTTCTACTTCCACACAAGTATTTACTTTTGTTTACTGCTCATTTCCATATCTGAAAAAAGATTTATCCGTGGATATTTTTCGTTTGGAATATATCTAAAATTTTCTATAGTCCCGATTAATAAAACAAAATCATAGATTTACATCTCTTTAAGAATAAAATAATACTCCCTAAAAGATTAATATTTTAAAATATTTTTCTTTTAAAAAGTGTACATATTATGTTTTTATATAATTTCATTTGTTAATAATGCTAGACTATAAACTTAAAAATTAATTATACTTTAAAAATATTATTAGGTTAAATTATGGAAAACTAATAAATAAAAAAGTAATACATCTATTATTAGAATAATAAAATTCTTATATTTTAATATGTGTACAACCACATTAACATAAATCTTATAGGAACATACAGATTATTACATATTAGGTTTATGAAGCTAAATATTATCTCGAATGTGTTAGGAATTCCATTATACTCAAAATACAAGTAGACGAAATAGTATATAAGTCCTAAGAGTATGTTTATCCCTGCAAAAATAAAGGGTGTTTAGCAAAAAGGATGGAAGTGGATCCCACAAAAACTGTAAATTCAATGCTTGTATTGTCTAAATAAGTGTTGGCATTTGTGTGTTGTTTCATCTGTTCGCAGGCTCCACTGACACGTGACGGTCCGCGATTGATTGACTTTTCTTTTTAAATCCGGAAAAAAACAAAAAATAACAATTGTTTTTCGAAGCACTCCATTTTTAATAAATTGGGATAAACATGCTCTAAAGTGTGCAATTGACTTCACTCATTATCATTTTGATATTTCAGCTAGAAAACCGATGCAAATTCACATTGATTTTGAATGAAATTAGCTAAATTATAACTGACTGAATTTTATTTTCACACCTAAAATTTTAACATAGGAAGAGCTAAAGTAAATATACACGTTTCTTACCAAAAAAAATAGGGCTAGGCAAAAAAAACCGAACCCGAAAATCCGAACCGAATCCGATCCGATAAAAAGGAACCCGAACCGATCCGAACCCGACATAAGTACCGAATGGATCTTGTTTTACGGTATTTCGGGTTATGGGTATTACCCGAACCGAACCAGAACTTAAATGGATATCCGAAGGAACCCGAAACTTTAAAATTCCAAAAAAAAACTTGTATCATATCCAATCTAAATTTCTAATATGTTTCCAAAACAGATTAATATATTATTGAGTACCTACAATAATTAGTTATGATATAAATAATTAGCTCAAATACTTAGTCTAATATATAGTGTTGTTTGGTTAATATTAATGTTTATGATTGACACTACATTTGAAGTTAAGTTACGAATAAATTTGTTTTGAAGTTTATATAATGTTGTTTTTAAAAGTTTAAATAGTAATTCTTATGTTTATAGAATTGTTAGTTGTTAACTTTAATTTTATCCGAAACCAAAACTATTTCGGGTTCAACCGGATCTTGGACATGTTACTAAACCCGAATCGAACCCGACTAAACCCGAACCGAATCCGATCCGATTTTTTATAATATCCGAATGGGGCTGAAATTCATGAACCCGAAAACCCGAAACCCGAATGAACCCGAACCGAAACCCGATTGGGACCCCGATTGCCCAGCCCTAAAAAAAACATATTTGACATACCTTTATTAAAAAGAAGTCTAGCGTGAAACTTATTAGAAATATGTTGTTACTTTCTATAATTTTTTACTAGTTAATTAGGAAAGGAAAACAAAAGTTTTGCACTGAAAATTTAAGACATAAACATTATTCTTTTGAAGCGGATTGATCCCGTCCGTCCACTTCCACAATTCAAAGTCATTTAGACCCACACAAATTGTACATTTTTCACTCGAGTTAAACAATGAAAAAAAATGATCGAGGTGTCGCAGATCATTTCAACTGTTCAACCGAATATGCGTCACTCGTAATACTGAAATCATGAGTATTAATTTTGAGATTTTCATGCGAGCGTAATTATTAATGCAGCGAATATAATGGTACTACATGTATGTTTTAACATCGTCAACAATCACGACAAATGATAGTGATAATATATATAGTTCTTTTTGCTGTTAAACTGCTGGCAAGAAAATTTCAACAAACATAACGCTGATTTTGCTGTCATCATTTTTAAATTTTAAGGTCCATTGCACTATAGACATAGCACTGATCACACTTTATTCACACGTCAATTTAATGGTCATACCATTTTTGAGAAACTAGTAACTACCACTCAAGCTTTAAATCAATGCAAATAAAAGAATATTTTAAGATTAATATACCATGAAACCATCTTATAACCCTGTTTTGTTTTAAAAAGAACTGTCGAATTCATTAGCTTCTTTTTTACTTGACTTGGTTAGGTAATTATATATTAAATTCTTATAAAATTAAGTTAGCGGGTTTTAATAAAAGGGTTACCAATAATGATGTATTGATGTATATCTAAATTGATCATGATTAATTTCGTACATTTTAATGTGACAAACTAAACAGTAGTATTGAATTACGAAGAAAAAGACAAACAGGCTGATCATGGTACATATTTAATTTACCCGAATCGTATTCCCTAGCACATATGGCAAGCCTTTCTTCTTTTTTCACTCTCCTGAATTAAAAGTGGATTAAAGTATTTTCATATTATAGAATAATTTTATTATGTCCTCACTTATGAAAATAACAATTAAATAATAAATATAAGAGCATCTTATTATAAAATACTCTAACAAAAACATCTCAAATATATTATATTAATATTATAATAATAAATTAAAATTTTAAAAATATAAGATAAATGTCAAATGCGTTTTTTTGTTGGGAGAGGTTCTTGTTTAAAATTCATATTATTATTTTAAAAATGTAAAATCATGTAAATACTCCACTAAAAAATGATGCTTTAATCTGCATGAAGCAAATGCTAGTGTATCTTAGAGGACCCTGCCATTAAAAAGCGAATAGGTATGTCTTATAAGTTATACCTAAATTCGTAATTTTCAAATAATAGTATTACTATATTAGAAAACGTTTTTTCTGGCCGATATATTTACGATCATACCCACAAACGACAGTCCGAGACCAGCTGACCGACTCAGTTAGCCACTCTTATCTTTCATCATCTCTCTCTCCACTCAGTAGAAGTGGAGACGAGTTTGTGAAGCAACTCAGTTTCATCTCCTTCTTATTAAAGTTTTGCTTCTTCAGTAAAGGCTTCGAGAGGATAGAAGATCGTGTCCTGATCGTGTCACGCTACGATCACCAATATTTATGGATAGAATGTGCGGTTTCCGTTCGGCTGGCGATTATCCGGACAAGTCATCACTGATGATGTCTTCTACGGAGAGTCTTATGTCCTTGTCCGAATACCAGAACTTGATTTATTCATCCACCGGAGAAAACCACGTGTTTGGATCCAACGAGCTTTACTCAGCAGCAGCTTCTGCTTTGTCCTCGGAGGCCGTTTCAATCACGCAGCGTATTAGAAGAGCTGATCAAGATAACTGTCTCATCAAGTCAAAGATCGCTTCTCATCCTTTGTATCCTCGCTTGCTTCAAACCTACATCGATTGTCAGAAGGTGATTGGTTGATTTATAACCTACTTAGGTCAGTGCGATGATTTTGTGTTCATGAGTATTTTTTGTTTTGGTTATTGGATTTTTAGGTGGGAGCTCCTGTGGAGATAGCGTGTGTATTGGAAGAGATTCAGCGAGAGAACGATGTGTACAAGAGAGATGATACTCCTTTATCTTGCTTTGGAGCTGATCCTGAGCTTGACGAGTTCATGGTATCTCACTTTCACCCTTATGTCTCGATCTTTAATTCTCTAACCTTTTTTTTGTTTATAAATCATTGTTATTTTGCTATTTTAGGAAACTTATTGTGATATTTTGGTTAAGTACAAATCCGATCTCGCCAGACCGTTCGATGAGGCTACGACTTTCCTGAACAAGATCGAAACGCAACTACAGGACCTGTGCACTGGTCCCGCTTCTGCTAGAGGCCATTCAGGTCAGAACTGATCCCTCTCTATAATTTTCTTGTTTGCATGTACTGTTGATTTCTTGTTCAGTCTTTAGGTTTTTATTGATTCTGTGAGTACTTTTATTTAATTTTCACCTTACAAATCTAAAGGATATGGAAAATCTTAACCAGAACTTTCTCTTTGATGCTCCACACCAGTTTCTAGGAATTGATGAAAACCTTCTGACACATGTTTTACTTTCTTTAATATATCTGTTCTCTTAATATTAATAACCGTGAGTAACGATATAAGTTATAGAAACGAAACTATAAAGCTTAATAAATCCAGTTGTGGAAACAACCGAGTGAAATATATATATAAAACCCTAGTTTTGGTGAAAAACATTGATTGTTTCTGCTAGCTATTTACTGCCATTTTCCTTCAGTGGTTCTTTTGTTTTGGCTTACAAGTGTTTCCTGTGAAAAACTACAAACTTTGTGACATTATTTTTCCTCATCCGTTATGGCTTAGTAGCCGTGGGGCTTTAGATAGTGTTAAGGGAAAGGAGTGGGTGGGATTTTCTCATGCTCAACGATATTTTCTTCCTAGTGAATGATTTTGTGTGTATGTTATACTTTTCTTTTGTTACTTTATATATACTGTATGTAGTTGTATTATTATCTTCTCTGACAGAAAGAAAATGGTCTAATGAAAGCAAAAACTTTTGCGGTAGAGATTCAGATTTTGACGTTTCAATGTCGTACTGAAAGTGTTTTTCTTTAAAATGCTTCCTCTTTCCTGTGAAAATCCAATGATGGAGAAAAAAAACCTAGTCATAAGTTCTACTAAAAATGCAACTGACTGATTTTGTTGAGCCTGTTTTTTCACTTCATGTTTTAGACCATCTGAGTCGCTAGTCATGTTTACATCTTCATTAAGAATTTAAGACTGATGGGTAAAACAAAAATTTATCAGTTCTTTGACTGCTCCCAAATTCTCTTGGTGAGAAACATTTTTCAGTATTTTTGTTTTAAAATATATAATTACGTTTTGCTGTATGACTTAAGCTTTGTTTCACATAATGGATCCTTTTTATATACTCAATCTAGTTTTTCAAACAAAGTTCATTATCTAGAGAGAAAAAGTTATAGTGGATTAATCAAGGTTAATAGTTTCTTTTTTATTGGTGTGAAATTTTGAAGCCACGTTTTAAAAGATAAAACGGAGGGAGTAGTTGACAATCCTTAACTTGTAGACATATGTCCTGATTACTGGATACATTGTGTGTTAGTCTTATATTTGAATTCAGTTTAGTCCAAATGTGCTCATTTCTTTACATTTACAATATCACTCGCATGTGCTTATCTTTTATCCTTCCTCAACTCTGTACACAACATAAATGTCTTGAACATGTCAGCTGGTTGGTTTTTGTGTTACTTGAGCCTAAAAAGAGCAAAAAAAAAAAAATCTTTGGTAGATTTCAAGTTCCAATAATCTGAGCTCATGAGCATGGATAGTATATTACCCTTCTAAAATGCTGTCTGGCCAAGTGGTTGTAATTTTGCATGGCGTGGTTAAAGTTTTTGTCGTCTTGTAATCTTGTTAGAACTATACATCTAAGTTATGTTTGTTTTCCGAGTTAGGAATGATATTACTTGGTGAGTATTTATTACTAGCCCGTATATGGAACTATTAGGTTTTTTCTTAAGGGACTGCTTTATTTGCCGTGTGTAGACTTTGTTAGTGTACAATAATTTATTAGCCACCTTAGCTTTGTCAGAATGTGTATGTGTGTTTATGTAATTAAAGAAAACCTTTCACGATCTTAGGGATTTTAAATTAATCATTTATTTCTCCATCTACACCTGATAAGAGCTAGCTGGAAAGAAATGGTAAAAATGTGGGTTTCAGCTTTTGTAGGCTTCTTGGTATCGTGCTTTTTTGTATGTAGTCTGTAGATATCAAATGCAGTTTCGATTGTACTTTGTTAGCATTGTTTAACTTGAAAAGTTGTTAATACATAATCAGATCGTATTTAATTAAGTGGAGTTTGCGTAGGGAATCATGTTCAAAAGGTTTTAAAACGGATCACTGCAGGTTGAATTTTCTATAGTGGGCGAATGTTTAGTTTATAATCCTATATTATAATGTTTGGAAGTACAACTTGCTTTTTTGTTTGTTTGGGTAATCTCATGTATTTTCCTTTTGATTGGATATGTATTACCTTCTGAACATATCTTTTTCCTTGGCCAATAGCTTTTCCTGCTTCTTATCTCTCTCGAGAAGTGAGTTTCTTTTCAACTGAATTTATCTTAATCTAATCAAAAACATCCTAATGTATTCGTTCACCTGTTTTCAGAGTCACGTGCTTTGGTTTCTTTTCTTGCTAATATGCTTTAGGAATAAACCATATCCTCTTTTAGTCCAGTGATGTTTATCATAACAATTAGATTATCATAACAATTTGATCAAAAAAAAAAACAATTAGATTTCCTCTACACTTTGTTTCTCCTATTGATGTTTTGTACTAAATGACTAGCTTCATGATTTGCTCATTGAGCTTTTATAATAGAAGTAGTTGCACATACAAAATCATAATACCTTAGGAAAGCCAAGTCCAATATAGAGTAATCTTAAAAATAGTGTTTTGTGTTGTAGAGTGCATTTTGTAATATAGACATGCAGGTATGATCTCCATGCGGCATGGACCATGCCTAGAAAGAAAATGACTCGTGATTGTTCATTAGTTGTTTCGTCTAGTTGTAGTCATGATCACTTAAGGGAGCCGTGTGCATTGTCGTCTTGCACATAGTAGGGTTCTTAATGGTAACATACGCATTATTCACGTAACACTATCAGCAAAAAGAGAGAGCATGATAAGCTTGAATTAGAAACTTTATACGACTATTTAAATTCTAAAATTCTAAATAGAAGAGGGGTTAAGATGGAAGAAAAGAGCGGGGTGCATTGGGTGGTCGGGTGTCACATGGACTCCCGTGGATTCCGCTGGTGGATCCCTCCTTGACCCAATAGCAACTTCCTCTTTTAAAAGCTTTTTTTTTTCTGATTTGATTTTGATTATAAAGGAAAAGGAAATAAAAGAAAATAGGGTTTCTCTGTACAACCCAATCATCTATGAGTCTATGACTAATGCATCTCAACACTCTTGCTATCTTTTTCAACTATTGCTTGTCATTTCCTCTTTTCGTTGTTCCTTTGGTGGGTCATGTTATTTCATTGTATTTTTTTTCATGCATTGATGTTTATGAATCAAATTAGGCTAATAGGTAAAGAACAAACTTAGTTACTATTCCACATGCGTTCCTCAACTAGCAAAGATGGGTATGATCTATCTTTGTCTGATTTGTCTAGGTATCGGATCACCAGTCCATGTGTCTATGAATTAACATGTTCCTTCTATGTAATAGCAAACCCCTATCAATATCATATGATTCTAATATCCTGGGATGATATTGAAATTAAAAATCTCGTTACTTCTTTGACAGTAATGCCTTGAGAGTAGTTTCATTTATCTAATCACTAAATGGAGATTACTTAGTGCCGCTAAGTTTCTCATTAATCAAATTAGGGATCCCTTTTAGTGGCAGCAACGTTATGGGGTCAGTTTGGTCATCACGTAAAAGTGTGGAAGCGTTATTTCCGGGGGTCATTTCTAAACCCAAAAAGGTTAAGACGTGTCGTGACTCCGGTGGGCAGTGGTAGGCCACAGGGGAGCACTCTGTCCTCTCTGACAAGTGAAATTGGAAGCTTTAACACTTGTTCACTCCACGACAACAGTTATTGTCTTACTGTTTGTGAAGCCCTCGATATTCTCTCGCCAGTTTATTCTTTCCCCTTTTACCCCTAAGCCATTTGGTTTGCTTCTTTATTCTTTTGGCTCTTTTCATGTTTATAGCCGTTTAGCTGAGCACACAATCATATCTTTATGTTATGCACTGATTAATCTTCTGCATGGGCATGACAATATTTTCTGCTATATGAGCAGATGATGGTGCGGTTTCATCAGACGAGGAGCTGAGAGAGGGTGACGACATAGCGACGCAGGACAGCCAACAAAGAAGCAATGACCGAGAACTCAAGGACCAGCTGCTGCGTAAATTCGGTAGCCACATCAGTTCATTGAAACTCGAGTTCTCTAAGAAGAAGAAGAAAGGGAAGCTACCAAGAGAAGCAAGACAAGCATTGCTAGATTGGTGGAATGTTCATAATAAATGGCCTTACCCAACTGTAAGCGGGCTATTTTGTTTCTATATATATTTCAGTCCTAGGCTAACAATTGGTAACTTGTGTGTTAATATTCGCTAACCCTTAATATCAAATGTGTGCAGGAAGCTGACAAAATAGCTCTGGCTGAAGAAACGGGTTTGGATCAAAAGCAAATCAACAACTGGTTTATAAACCAAAGGAAACGTCATTGGAAGCCTTCGGAGAACATGCCGTTCGCTATGATAGACGACTCTAGCGAAACATTCTTTACCGAGGAATGAAACGTAACAGAAGCTTGTGCATTATTGACATCATGCGTTGTATAATTTTATATTACATTGTTTTGCCAAGAAAAAAAAATAAGCTAAAAGCTTTGGTAAATGGAGATTGGAGTGTCATCACGTATGAATTAAACTCTTAGGCCAAAGGACGAGGGGCGTAACGTTCCTTTGCATTAGAAAATAGTGGGAATGTTATTTATGTCACATATCTACCACTGGTCTAAAATGATGGCCTACTTATTTGTGTTAAAACCTTAAGAGAATCATCATGTGTCGACTAATAGTTTTTTCTCATCTGGTTCTCTAGTTCATGTAAATGTTGTCCTATTATAACATAAACCATTTGTTACTAGTTGTAACTGAGACAATATCTAAAACAAAAGTATTCACAATAGTTTGTGTAGCTGAAATTCGATCTTCCAAAACGTTTAAGCTTTCTTATTAATTGAGTTTGGCAATGGCTTTTGCGTTTTCATGCAAAACACATACAATCTTGTGTCTGGATCATTAAAAGGCTTCTCGATTGAGCATAACTCTGAGAAATATAGTGGAACAGTTCTTTTTAGTACATGTGTCAACTTACTATCCACAACATTTTGGTTTGTGCTCAACATTGTTTTTGCATCGAATATTTTTGGTTTGTCCTCAACACTGTCTTTATGATTCTTCCAGTTCAGGTTTGGATCAAATATTTCCTCCAACTCCCCGGACTGAAAATGTTTCCATGCCTTTTTATAACCAAAACAAAACATACCAATTAGTATGCTATAGTAAAATTTGACTTGATGTTTTAATGCAAGTAAGTTTTTTTGTGGTCTAAACTTACTTATGTAACCAAACCAAGTAATCTGACGTTTCACATTTGATGATCTGCTTCCCAGTGACAATCTCTAATAAAAGAATTCCGAAGCTGTATACATCTACCTTCTCTGTTAGCTGACCATGTACCACGTACTCTGGAGCCATAAGTTCACAAGTATTGGATCATAACAAAAAGAAATTTAATTTTCTGAAGTAACAAAATCATAATCTTACAAAGTCCCTGCAATGACCGTACTGATCTGGCTCTTGTCCTCCTGGAACGATCTGGCCAGACCAAAGCCTCCAAATTTGAAAAAAATAATAAATTATATAAACTCTTACTAAATTGTCTATATCCCTCAAAGTCTCAGGAACAGTCACTACTTACATTAGCTTCATAAGAAGCCACTAGAAATGTATCCATACCTTAAAGACAGTTCCAAATCCTCCTTATTCAAGCTTGTTTTGCACTGTCAAATGAACCAGTGGCCTTTTCCAATGTTGTGTATTTGAAGTTCAAGCTACTGTTAGTAAAACATTTCGCTAGTTTTTCAACATCATTTGGTCCTGAAATGACACAAAAGTCTTGTCAAAACATTCTCGTATTTAAAAGATTCATCTGAAACAAAACAATGTACACTGACTTCGTCTCTTCTTCTCTCTGGTCCGGTGTTTGTAGATATTAACACCAATAGCTATGCCAGCAATGAACACAAACACTTGCTAACAACAGAAGCAGAAGCATCCTCCAAACACTATAGTCTGACGTACTTAAAAAGTTTGAATTTATTATACACAAAGGGATCTTTCCTCCATTTGGTGTTCACATCATCACTGAAAAAGTCCTTCCTAAACCTTAAAACCAATGAACTATATTTGATATGTCCTTCTAATTCACTGGTAATAAATGAATAAGTTCTTTTCCTCAAAAATATAGTGTTGGCTAGCATATGATACATTTATAAATAATAATTTTCCTTCTCTTCTGTGAAATACTAATCAACAACCGGTATTCAAACACCACAATATTAATCTCACATGCATGACAAAATTATTATAACATGTCAGCAAATCTACACCTTGTGATAATGGTTCCCATCTTCCTTACGGTGAGCCAAAGCAGTGTAGCAATGGCTCGACCGAAGATCCCGGCCGGGCGTGATCCATGCTCCGTGTCAGATTTCAAGGTGCTTTTGAAGATCAGTCGTGAAGGGTCAAAAGAATGTTGTGAGGACTCAAGACTTGTTACTCAAACTATGATGGTGCGCTCGATAAGACGATAATCTACAAAAGGCGTTGACTGACATTAAAAATAGTGATGGATTTAGCCTTAACATCAAGCTTCATCTTTTAAGGGAATGACATTAAAACTCTCTAGCTCTGATTCCGGTTTATTCAGCTTTCTACCATTTTTAGACTTTTAGTACACGATAAAAAAATTGTGTATATCTTCTGATTGTTTGACCATCAATGTTTTACTCATCACAGTCAGGTTTGTTTGCATATCGATGCAACTTATTATTTGCGTGCAGGTCACAGATTATTATTTGTTTTGCTTTTGTGCGACTGATCACAACTAACACAAATTGCGACTTTAAAACGTTGAAAAATAGTGACTAAAAAACAAAATTTTATGTATTAAACGATTGTTACTGGCAGAATCAGTAAAACCATTCTTCCGGAGGAGGATAGCTGCGCATTCTCTTATGCTCCTCATCCAAACCCTCTCGATTTTGTCTTGGCCCCAATACCACTTATAAACAAACAAACAAAAAACAATGAATCCTATGTCCATAATAAAATAAAATAAAATAAATAAAAAGTCTTACAAAGACTCATAGGGAATTCCACGAGATGTAAGGCTGGCATCAGATTTTTTTATAACACTCGTGGAACTGATAGAAAACAAGAGAATTTTTTTGTCAAATATATATTCAGTCATCTACAAACAACAAACAAATCATGTACAGAGAGACAGGGTGAAACGTACCCCATGTTTTGAGTATCGGTTATGGTCCAGATCTTGGTGGTACGTCCGAAAATCGAGGCTTCATGGCACTGCAAAACAAACAGAAAAAATGAAATGAATTGGCTACAAAAGGCGTTAAAATGATATTTCAACAAAAAAAACAAAGGCTTTCTTTCAAACCTTAGTGAACTTAAAACGATGTTCGGGACGAGCAATGTTGTCTCCACTAGCAGCAGGCTTATCAGATGAGCTACATAATAACAAAACAAACCATCAGATAAAAAATCAAAGCAATTTTTTTGGTTTTTTTTGTAGTCATTACCGAATTCTAGGGCGATACTTGTTCTTGATAGAGGCGATATAAGCAGCAGAAAGCGTCCCGGCCTTGAACTTAACGCCAATTCCAGGGGCGATAAAGAAGTGGTCCTGCCAAAAGACAAAAAGATGATTAGCATTTGACAGAAACTAACGCTTTTAAATGATATTTTAAACCATTTGGGGAGGTTTGTTGGGAGCGAGCAGCTTCATTCTCTTCTCGTATGCCGCTAATCTCAGTCTCCTCTTCCTAAAGAAGTTAATCTTGCAACCAGATCTGTACTTTCATAGAAAAAGAGAAAAATCCACTCATGAGATGGAGAAAGGTGCTAAACTAAACATAGAGAGACGAAGGCATCGACAACGTACCCCATGTTTCGTTTCGATGAAGGAGATGATGATGATGAAGAAGATGTTTCGTTTTGAAACCCTAATTCCCTTTGTAGCTTCCCTTTTATACCATAAACCATTTCAATAGGCCCTTCATAAACTCACTTTTTGGGCTTACTTAAAAGAGCCTCAACTATATTCTTTTCTTAGATATATATATATATATATATATATATATATATTCTCTTTTTTTAATACTAATAACGAGATTGTTCCCCTTGATTCTAATGGCTCGAGCTCTTGGGTCTCCGGAAGGTGGTTGGACGGAGTAATGCAAGAAACAACGTCAAAAGACATGGAACGTAGAGATGTGTTGGTGTTTTCTTCATTTGTTGTTTTTTCTGATTGTTTGGCGTTTTTTTTTTGAGCAACTGATTGTTTGACCATCTATGTTAGTTTATTCATGGTCAGGTTTTATGTGTCGATGTGACACTATGATTTGCGTCACAGGTAATAAAACTCTCAAAATTAATTTTAAAAACACAGTAATTTTAAAATCTTTTGTTTACATGTGTTAAATAATGTAATGTATATCTTTTTAGAGTCTATAATAGTAGAGAATTTTCTAAATCATTTGGACTTGAAGGTTTTGTCGGTATTTTCTCCATATCGATAGAGTTTTTGTGCTAGTATTTGGATGCTTTTCGCGTTGTGGCATGGCATGTCAGTGTGCAACAGATAAAACACACATAATTTCTATGAAAATATGAATGAATATATGTGCTAAGATGATGATTTAACTGTTGTTAGAGCTCAAGTTTAGATATTAAAATTAGGTAAGGAAGCAACCTTTTAAGATGAGATAAAACAAAAATATAATATTTTCTAATTTATCTTGAAATATGTAGGTTAATCCCTACAAAAAGATTGAGTTTTCCGATAAATATTATATATAAGCCTCTTTATTTTTGTTTAAAATACCTAACCACATTCAAAATTTATATTAATGCACTAAACTTATGTTCATAGAACATGGACATCAATCCTAATTTTCAACCGAGGAATTCAATAAAACTTCATATACCACCAAAAACAATGAACTAAACCCTATAAAATCTCTATTTTCAAGAGAAATTTGGACAAATAAGGTATCAAAACTCTCTAATATTCATCATATATCAGTGTTGGATACAAATATGCATAAATACAAAAAAATTAAATTTTCTAATTTATCTTGAAATATGTGGGTTAAACCCTACGAAAAGATCGAAATTTCTGATAAATGCTATTTGTATATTAGTTTAGCCTATTTAGTACCGTTTAAAATATCTAACCACATTAAAAATTTACACTAATGTATCATAAATTTATTTTCATGGTAAATGGCCATCAGTTATAATTTTCCAATGAGTAAATTAATAAAACTTTATATACCATGTAAATCAAAGAACTAACCTTATGAAATCTATATATTCTAGAGAAATTGAGAGAAAAAGTGTCATACATCCTTAATCTTCATTCTCTATATGTGCGGGATGCATCTATGCACTAAAATAAAAATACTGTATTTTCTTATTTATTTTGAAATATGTGGGTTATCCCCTACAAAAAGGTCAAATTTTCCAATAAATGATATATAGTGAAGTTTAAGATATTTCATGTTGATTAAAAAATTCTTAATCACATTATACATTATTATAAATGTATGTTAAATTTATTGTCATGATACATTGGCATCAGTTCTAATATTTTTATAAGTAATTTAATGAAATTTCATAATCCACCTTATTATGTGGACTAACCCTTATAAAAAATGTAATTTTCTCTTTAATTTTTAATAGTTACTATAATTTCATTTTTATCAGACTCCGGCGGATGGATTTCCACAGTCGATGACGCCGTAAAGAAAAATACCACATTATTCATGAACAAAATTCAAACTTACAAAAAAACATATCCAAACCTATCTATTGAAATCCAAACAACAAATATTAGCTTAAATTAAAGTTATTTTCAAATTGATAAATCGTTTAGTACAAATATAAATATTATAAATAAATATTTATATCAAGTTTTGACATCCGATATAAAAACTATTTCCAGCATAAAAAAACAATATAGACATCTATTTTTATACACTAAAAACTATATTATAATTTAGTTATTCCTATAAACCTTATTTCGTATATAAATACCATTTAACACATTATATATACAATATTTTCACTTTGCACTCTTGCTACATTTTTTTCATTTCATCATTATTTGGTATTACTAGAATAACCCACTAAACCAACAACCGAAAAAACACAGATCCCGGCCCCGCGCTTGCGCGGGGGTTATGCAGCTAGTGGAGAAAAGGATAAAGATTTGTAAAGAGTTTCAGAATGATTGGCCATATATGTTTCTTCACAATCACAGCGTATATCACTTACCTGAAATTTCTTTAAATGTATATGTTAAAGTTTCTTTCACAACTATATGTTGTCTACATATTTTATAAACTAGTATTTAATAAATTGGTAGCTTGATAAAATTTGGTTCCAATATCAAGATTTGATCCCAGTATCTCTTAATAAATTGATATGTTTTGTTCAGTTGATAAAATATTGTGGTCTTAGTTTTTATTAATTTATAAATGTTTCTGTATTGAGAGTTGTAACTGTACAAACGCACAGAGTAGCTAGATGGTTCAGTTGAGTTGAGCCCATATAAAACCCAATATAACAAAATGTAGAGGTCCAGTTTTAATATTACCGACGGTCACATACGCACAGCATTACTCATCATGTGTGTGTATGATGTATATGTTGTAGCTGTAATAATGTGCATGGTCCTATCTGTAATCACGCCGCTTTGTTAAACACCTTCTTATTCATAGAATGATTGCAAAACGCCTTGTTCACAAAATGATGAGGAATGATAATCGAATGCAGAATCCTATAGTATAAAGATAAATATTCGATTGTACTTTGTAAGAAAGAGAGCACTTAACGGAATCTTGATTAACTCAAAAAATAAAATTTAACCTCGAGGAAGAAAAAGCTGAGAGCATGGGACGGCTTTAGACAGCATCATTGGGCTTACATCGAATTGTTGTATCCTCCTTTTGCTTGACAATATTCCTCTTTTCGTCATCTTTTCCGGTTTTTCCCACATTCTCTTTCTCCCTCTTTTAGTTAAAAAGAAACTATACTGTATGATTTTTATTTATATAAATACTGTTTTTTAGAACAGATTAAATGCGCAGTATATTTCATCTGTGTAAAATCCATTCACAGTTCACACAGCTATGGTAGTGAGTGGAATTTATGATGAGGAATCTTCCATGTTGAACTATGCCTAGTTTTCCGGAGTATGAAAACGACAATATCATGATTATCATGCTGTAAACCCTTTTTTTATTTTCGTCAGGGAAGTTTTGAATCTCTATCGGTTAATGGAATTAAATTCTCTATAATCACTTATCACAATTCTGTTTGGTGTCGAATCTGAATTCCTTGAAGTTTTACCACACAATATAATACTAATTTTACTTTCATTCATTAAAGTGATTCAAAGTCATTGTTTAGAAAATGAAATGACTCCTTTACAATGTCTAAGCTTAAGAAATAGTAACACCAGCCAACAAATATTTTCTTACTAGATAAGAATGTTAAAATGGTTTATGAGATATACATATGAACGCTGTTAACCAAAAAAAAAAAGGAATCATACGTAATATTACGTCAAGGCGTTGGTAAGCATAAAAGGTAATGTGAAGTGATGATTTGTAGTCTCGGGTTATTGGTCGTTTAATGAAAACATGTAGTGATTCATATTTCAAATTAGTGGTCGCAATAATTCTCCCTTATCACCTTATGACCATGAGTCATAATGCTATCCTTTTTGTTGACAGGAATCAAATTCTCCCTGCTTTATTGAAGACCTTTTACTTTCACATTCTTCACTATTTGGATTAATTCCTTTGATTTTTATCATCCTGATTCTTGGAGTATCGATCATTAAAGTGCTCTTAGTTTTGATCCATAGTCATAAGTCATAATGTATACACTAGAATTGTTCCAGGCCACATGATCAGATAAGGATCAGATTCTTCATACTTTCTCAGTTTCTGTACAAGTGTCTGTAAATGTATCTCTACGTACGTATATGTGTACACGCATGCGTATGGCACGAGCTCAACTACTAATTACTGATGTGTTACCTACATATATACTATACACTACAGAATTTATAGGGTGTGGATGTCTGATCAGTTAAAGCTGAAGAAGATCAGTGAATGATTTACTCTTTGAGTTAAAAGCTTTATGTGTAGCAATCAAACATCCAAATAAATGAGAACTGTGAGCTTCAATTTGGCTACTATTGAGATCATGTTGCAAAACTCAACTCAATCATAAGTTTCTATATGGTCAACTATGTCTGTGTATAATCAATTAAAAGTATCAGAAAGACATAATGGTAAAAGACTCAAAAGAGACAAAACTTATACTAAGAGAGTAATTTTTTTAATTATTTACAAAATGGTCGAACATAAGGATCATCAATGTATGTGTCCCTACGAGAACTGCACCCACTTAATTCCCCAACTTACATACCACCTATTGACCCTCTTTCATTATAAACGACCCACTATATAATTATTAACTTTAAATAAAGTATATTTTTGTATATTGTAGTTGCATGATAATGAGATGCTGTATATATTTAAATTCGTATGCAGGTGCAATATAATGTCGCTGGAATCTTATAATCTTGGTACGATACAAGTAAGCATGCTTTGGTTAAATCACTCCCTCAATTTTGAGAGACAATATGATTGTGTTTTAAAGAATGGACACTCTCGAGGCTCGACAATTAAAATTCACAACTTGTACTATGCTATAATAATGTTTTTCTATCAATAAACTCGCTTTGTTTTCCGCAAATTCATAGTTTTTTTGTATATCCTTCTTCCAGCTTGGGAAGAAGATTAAATTATGAGGATAGTTTAGTCTATGATTAAAGAGACTACGTACCGTAAACACCACGTCTTCTTAAATACCACCATATAATATATGTTTGCTTTGAGGATTAATAAGATAGCAGTTCACTATTCCACAAGTAACATTGTGGAATAAAAAATGTCAGTTCCTTCATATTTTCTTAATTGCAACATGGAACATAAATGTTAAATTTTATTTCTATGTAAACTCTATACAAACATAAAAGGAAGTGGAAAGAGAGTGTAACACCAGAAAGCAATAAAGTTTGAAGAAACTCAAATTCAAAGGTACTCAATATTCATCTGAACTCTGGTCCCTTTCTTCAAACCAAAGAATGATCACACCATATCAAAGTTTCCCTATATATTACTCCTCACATAAATATGAAGTTTACTTCTCTTTTTCTCTCTTCTTTTATCCATTTACTTCTTAATCTTTCTAGAAATCTGCAAAACTCTTGATACATAATAAGACTTTTGATTTCATCAAAAACCTTTTATTTATATCACCTTATGAACACACATGTCCAAAACTTTTGCAACACTCAACCCTAATAAATTTTCTTGATTCATTCTTTATTAGTTTCTGATCGACTGGGCTTGTCTTAGAAAAGTGATTATGTGTTTAATGTGTTTGTTGGGAGATGTGTCAGAAACATCAAGAAGAGGAACAACAACAATAAGAAACCGTATTAAATGTTGTCTTTTGAATCACTCAAGAAGACGAAAACAACATCACAGCAGATGTTTTCCTCATCATCATAGTCCACACCAGGTTTCATTCAAGTCCGTTAAGATGGTATCTTCTAGGTTCCTCAGATTGATTCTGTTACTCTCCCTCGTCTCTTCCTCCTTCTCCTACACCGCTTCTCCCTCCAATTCTACTGCCACAGATCAAACTCTCCGGCCTCAAGAAGAGCTCAAGAAGCTGAAACTGATTAGAAAAGAGCTCCTCAAGATCAACAAACCCGCCGTTAAAACCATTCAGGCAATTTCTCTATCTCCAAAAACGTTATCAATTTGATCAATGTACTATATTATTATCAACATGCAAAAATATTTTAATCTGTTTCCTACTCTTCTCTTGTATGTTATGTTTTCTTGCAGAGTTCAGATGGAGATACAATAGATTGTGTTCCAACTCATCAACAACCAGCTTTTGATCATCCTCTCTTACATGGACATAGACCAATGGTGAATTACATTCCATCTTATTCTTCACTTTCAGTTAAAACCATAAGTCTTTTTTTTTTTTTAAACATAAGTCTAATATTAAAGAAAATCTTTCTTACATTAGGATCCGCCTGAGATACCTAAAGGATATAGCAAAGATGATGAATCATATGAAGATACTCAGCTATGGAGTTTATCCGGAGAGACTTGTCCAGAAGGTACGATTCCGATAAGAAGAACAACGGAACAAGACATGTTAAGAGCAAGTTCTGTTCGGAGATTTGGTCGGAAAATCAGGCGCGTGAGGAGAGATTCCACAAGTAACGGACACGAAGTAAGTTACTATAATTATCCAAAAAAATAAAGTCAGAGCTTTCTTTAACTATAAAAGAAAAAAGATAATAGAATGATACCAAAACTCAGCTTTTTTCGTTAATTCTTTGCACGACCATCACACACTTTCTTGTATTCCAAACTCTCAAAAAAGAGAAGCGTGACATTACAAAAGATTATTCTCTGTTCACATCGTAAAAAGATTATTCTCTGTTCCTTTTTTTCACTTTTTCAGTGTTTACAGATTTACAAGACAATTCAGTAAACCTAGTTATATTTTTTTACCAATTTGAGCATTTGATATCAAGATTTGTTTTTGTGTGTTTAAAAGAATTTTTTTAGAAATCAATGTGTTTTACTTTAAAAATAAAATTTAAACGAGTGGTAGATATTGAAATAAAATATTGAATAATTTAAAATAGTAAAATGATAAATAATATGTATTTAATTATTTGATATTTACTTTAAAATCTAAAAATTAAAATTTCAAATAAAAAGTTAATAGTATTATATTATTATTTGATGATAAAGTTGATTTTTTGTAGCATGCGGTGGGGTATGTATCCGGGAGACAATACTACGGAGCAAAAGCGAGTATAAACGTGTGGTCGCCACGTGTCACTAGCCAATACGAGTTCAGTCTATCTCAGATTTGGGTTATCGCCGGTTCGTTCACTCACGATCTTAATACCATCGAAGCCGGTTGGCAAGTACGTCTCAGTTTTTCCTATTATTTATTTTATATAGAAATAGTTGAATAAAAATTATAATCCTTGTAAGTGTAACAATGAGATTCATTTATATATCCATTCAGATTATTATTTTCTAGACTAATCAGTCCACTTGGTTACGTTGCACAGATAAGCCCGGAGCTTTACGGAGATACTTACCCAAGATTCTTCACTTATTGGACGGTAAATGTTTACTTCATTACTTAAGTGTCATATTGTTAAAGTAAATCGTTTGATTGAATCAACATTTTGCTAACGATGGTAACGATAGTGATTTTCAGTCTGATGCATACCGAACAACGGGTTGCTACAATTTGTTGTGTTCCGGTTTTGTCCAAACCAACCGTAGAATTGCTATCGGAGCTGCGATTTCTCCTCGATCTTCTTATAAAGGTGGACAATTCGATATAAGTTTATTGATCTGGAAGGTAATCTTCTTCACTACATATTATTATTACAACTTTTTGATAGTCAACAGATTTATCTAGAATATATAATTTTGTTAATCATCATGAAATCAGATCCTAAAGTTTTCTAGTTTCTTACATTCTTGATAAGTTTTTGTATTATGTAATTCAGAAACGTTACTAAACAGTTAAGAAAGAATTAAAAGCACATGGTTCACATCAATGTTTCCTGTGTCGACCCAGCTCATTCAACGTGACATTTATAAGATGTGTCTCCACAAAGTCTTAAATACTTTATAGTGTCATAATAATAATAATAATAACAATGATGTTAATGCAAGTGATCGTAAATGTACTATATTTAGGATCCGAAGCACGGTCACTGGTGGCTACAATTTGGGTCGGGTGCACTAGTCGGGTACTGGCCAGCGTTTCTATTCACGCATCTAAGGCAGCATGGGAGCATGGTCCAGTTTGGAGGCGAGATTGTGAACACCCGACCAGGTGGTTCACACACTTCGACGCAAATGGGCAGTGGCCATTTTGCTGGTGAAGGTTTTGGTAAAGCATCTTATTTCCGAAATCTTCAAATAGTTGACTGGGACAATACTCTTATTCCAGTTTCGAATCTAAAGATTCTTGCTGATCATCCCAATTGTTATGATATAAGAGGTGGGACGAATCGTGTGTGGGGTAATTATTTTTACTATGGAGGTCCAGGAAAAAACCCTAGATGTCCATGAAGGATCAAGGAACTTTCTATTACTATTACTTTTGCATGCAGTGCTTTAATGAATTTTGGGGTTCGGAGATTAGGAACTTAAAAGTATCTTTGCGGTTAGGTGCTTTTGCAAATTTCATGTGGATGAGTTGTTTCTGCAGCAACAAAAAGTTTGGTAGTCCCTTTGATTTTTTTTTTGTTTATTCATGATGAGGAATGTGGTATCGCATAAAGAATTTTGTAATGTTTATTAGTGTTTCCAATGTGTAAATGTAGACTATTCAAAAGGATATTGAATGTTGATTTGTAATGTCGTACTCGTAACTAATCAAGGTTCTTCTCAAAAATTTAAAATATATAAAAGGGTAACAAAGAATTATCATTGGTGGACCAGAAGACAAGTTCTGTGGAAATAGAGCAGAGGCTGAAATAATAATTGGAAATGGTTATAAATGGTAGTTCTGACGATTAAATTCAAACATTCATGTCGCATAACTGTGAACTGTCTATTTTTATTGAATACCCCAAAAAATTGAAATTATTAGAGGTGGAAATGTGTTTACATGGGATGAGACCATAAATTAAAATGCCGATTCCAATGGTCCTTCATTTTTTTACAACATTTAATGGTCTTTCATTAATCTCCCCATGTGCCTACTTTTATTAGTTAAGCTACACACATTTTTTCAATTAGTTTTTAAGACTTTTGATTTTGAATAAAGCATCATTTAATTCTTCATTAACCTTTTAATTTTTAAGAAAAGACGTATGTTAATTTCAATGTGGGTTTCCAGCCCCCTCCCCTCCCCCCCCCCCCCC